AAGCCTCGGCGCTGTCGGACTTGGGAGGTGAGCTCACAGGCTTGTCAGCCGCGGGCTTGTTGGGCGTCGCCTTGGAAGGCGTAGCCTTGGCGGACGCGGACTGAGCTTGCTTGCGCGCCTTGCGGGTGCGGGTGCTCGAGCGCTTCTTGAAGGGCACGACGCGTGAGGCAGCCACGTTGGGGTTGACCATGATGTCGTCCTTGAGCGACTCGAACTGGGTGGCTGAGGGCCACAGCAGTGTGATCGTGTGACGAGAGTCTGCGACATGGTGATGTACAAACGATGGAGGACACAACTCTGAGATGTCSGTCGGCTTGGTACGGGCGCCGTCGTCCTTGGTGGCCACAAACGTCATCTCGACGAAGTGGTGGGATGGCACAAACAGACGGGCGCTGACGGGTGATGAGGCGCCAGTGAGAGTGCAAGCGTTGCCGCGGAAGTGCTCAACAAGCTTGCTGAGTTCGGCAGAAGAGTAGGCTTTGCCTTCAACGGTCAAGCCACGGAGTGCACTGCTATCCTTAGAGGCAGCAGTGCCTGATGGGTACGATCTGCTTACACGCATGTGCAAGCGCAGACCTTTCATGTAGTCCTCTGGCAGCAGCGCTGCGCCAGGGTAGAAGATTCGCACGTCGTATGATGACTGCGATGAGGGTGGCGCACGATCATTGATCGGGCCATACCTTGCGAAGAATGACTCCGCTCCCATTGTAATCTGTGACAGGGCACTCACCTGAGTACTGCTGTTGTTGATTGAGAGTTGATGTATTGACTTTGCTAGATTGAGTGATCGAGTAACAGATAGTAACTGTATCACTCGTTTCGGTTTTTCTAATCTTCATCAAAAAAGGCACGGGAACTATCCCCCTTATACCTCGGTATTCTCGAGGTCAAAAAGTTTTTGCTCTACTGAGATTCGAACTCAGATGACTGGATTCAAAGTCCAGGATACTAACCCTTATATGATAGAGCATTTGGATTTGAGTTGTTTCCAATTCTCAAACTTTATCGGAAAATTATGTGTTTTTTTTTTTAAAAACTAAGTTAATTATGCATGAACTAAAATGCTATCAATCAATTAAAAATGCTATTAATAGGAAGTAAAATATATATTTCTATTTCCTTAATCGATTGGTAATAACAACTTCCTTTGATCAATCACGTTTATGATTTTTTTTTTGTTTATTTTAGATCACAAAATATCCTGATTGGTGGGGGAGCCATCCCATAGGGCGAAAGCGTCCTTCCATCCTATGATTGAAATCTTGGTTGTGCCCACTTTGAGCTTTATGATCTCGCAAAGTACGATCATCACCACACACGCATTTCTCAAGCTCATCAAATTACCCCCACACAGACAATGATTCAGATAGACTTTCACACAACTTGCCCCACCCATTACACTCAAGTGTGCCAAGCAGGATTCATTCATTAAAGCAATTCTTTAGCACACACAAACTGGGCGGCAACACAAATAATAACCATCATTGCACAAGCAACACCAATACTACTCCATCCATTCAGGACCACTTGTCAATAACGCCCTTAATCCATCTTCACTGCACCACCAACCTATTACCTATTACAACTACTACAACTATACACATATTCTCCAAACCTTCATTTGGACCCTTTTGGCCTTCACCCGCCCTTTCCACATCATTCAATCAATCAATCAATCAATCAAACATTGTATTACTACATTACACTATACAAACTATATAACTACAACAATGGGCTGCACAATCAGCACGGAAAAGAAGCAAAGTTCAGCAATTGACAAAGAGCTGGCAAATGAAAAAAGACACTTGGACAGGGAAATCAAAGTCCTGTTACTAGGTATGTGTTTTGTGATCCATCCATTCACTCACTGGAATCATTCCAATCACTCAATAGCTCATCACACACTAACACACTCAATCGACCACCCAATCAATCAATCAAATATTCAGGCGCTGGAGAATCTGGCAAATCAACAATTGCCAAACAGATGAGATATATACATACGGATGGATTTAAGGATGATGAGGTTAAGGATTTTAGGGACATTATGCAATCAAATGTATTACAATGTCTACAGACTTTGATTAGAAATCTGGAACAATTCAATCTCAATGTTGAGGATCCATTAACTGATCGCGCCAAACATTATGCACGATGCAACACCTTTGAACTGCCACTAGAGTCACACATGTGCGATGACATCAAAAGTCTATGGAGTGACCCAGCCATCCAACAACTCTACGAAGATCATCGTGACAAGATCAATCTTCCAGATGTAGCAGGATAGTATGTATTGCACATGAGTGATTGGAATGATTCCAGCCCCCACCCCACCACATACTCACACTTCAAATCATAGTTGCATGAAACATATTGATAGAATTGGAGCGGAGGATTATATACCGACACAGGATGATGTATTGAGATGTCGCCAGAGGACCACGGGCATGAAGGAGACAGAGTTCATGGTGGAGGATGTAAAGTTTAGGTTGCTGGACGTGGGCGGCCAGAAGAATGAGAGGAAGAAGTGGATGCACTACTTTGACGACGTCCGTACAATTATATTCTGTGTATCACTTAGTGATTACAATATGAATCTGGTGGAGGATGGCGCCACAAATCGCCTGCAGGACAGCGTCAAGCTCTGGGCGGACATTGTCAACAACCCGCTGTTCAAGAACGTGTCGATCGTGCTGTTCTTCAACAAGAACGACCTGTTCCGCGAGAAGATCATCAAGGATCCAATTGTAAACTATCATCGCGAGTTCCAAGGCGGCAGTGACTATGACCGCTGTCTGGAGTTCATTCGCAACAAGTACCTGTCACGTGTCCCACCTGGCAAGTCCATCGTGGCCCACGTCACCACTGCCATCGACGTCGAGAACATCACTGTAGTGTTTGATGCCGTTCGCAGGAACATCATCAATCAGATACTCAAGATACACTTTTAGACTCCCACTCCTTCTTTCCTTCCTTCCTTCCTTTACAACTTTTCAAAGATCTTGGACCAAGAGGCCTCGAGGCCTCCTTTGATCCTGGACCTTCCAAACCCACTACTCCCCTCCCTCCTCTATTACACTCTGCAGTGTCTATCGATCTGACATTGACTCTTCCCATCGATATTATTTATAATAATAAACCTTGAAACAAACTTGTAAATTGATCAATCAATCACAAATCAGTGCACTGAGCGAACTCAATCAATCAAAAACACAACTCCATTTCAGGTAAAAAGTGATCAAACACGCCCAATCACACAAACGGATTCTCAATCAAACAGATACAGATACTAATGTCATCATTATTGGAAGAATTGACAAAGAAGAGATCACTTAGGAATGTGGAAACGATCGTTACGAATAAAGATGGTTCAAAGGTTGTCATCAATATGAATCAAAATGGACACGAGTCTGTTGGATTGGCAGTGGATGGCGCACCATCATGTGGCTACATCATTGATAGATCACCCGATGACAAGGTGTACAAATGCGACTTGTCCACATATGGCGACAAGGCACGCCTCTACATTGGCTCACAGGATGCAGCATTCAATCGAGAGGAACTATCCCATAACTCAATCACAATGATTTTGAACGTTGGCTTTGGCATCCAGAACGCATTCACAGCCGACCCCTCCATTACCTACCTAAGCGTGGACATTCTGGACGATATTGATCAGAACATAGTCGATTGCCTGCCACCATGTTTCAAGTTCCTGGACGAGGCAATCACTCGAGACACTGGCGTGCTGGTACATTGCAATGCTGGAGTGTCGCGCAGTGCTACGGTCCTGATCGCATTCCTCATCCGTCGTCTGCGGCAGCCACTATCCATCTGTCACTCCATTGTCAAGAGCGCTCGAAAACAAGTACAGCCCAATCAAGGCTTCATGAAACAGTTGGCCAACTATGAGCGAGTAGAGTTGGCCAACCTCCAGCGACTGTAGCCAGGCCAGTGGACATCATTAGGTCAAAGGTAGTCAGCTTTATTCGAGCCAAATATATATGTATATTTGTTTTAATCAAAGAGACCCATTCCCATATCGTCATCGGACTCCTCCTTCTTCTCCTCCTTCTTTGGAGCAGCAGCGGCGGCAGCTGGGGCGGCGGCGGCAGCGGCAACTGGGGCAGCGGCGGCAGAGGCAGCTGGGGCAGCACCGATCTTACCCTTGCCAGCGGCAATGAGGGCAGCGACGTCCTTGCCAGAGAGCTCAGCAATCAGGGCATCGACGCGGGCAGAGTCAGACTCAACACCGACGGAGCTGAGGACCTTGGCGACATCAGCAGCAGATGGGGAGGCGTTTCCTCCGAGGGTGAGCAAAAGGTAGGCAGCAACGTATTTCATTCTGTTTGTTTGTGTTGTTGTGTCAAAGTGTTTGATTGAGTGAGTATGATGATCTTGTGTTGCTTGCTATTGCTGTGTCGCCCACCCCATCCTCATCAATCGATTGTGTCATATCGCTTGAATGTCAAGATGTTCACTTTGTATCGCTCGCTTCGTATCCATCACATTGCGTTGTATCGTGTCCATCAATGATGCATTTGGAGATGGTGGATGGATGATGGATGGATGTATCGCGCTGTTGTTCAATTGGATGAAAGATATATACTTGTTGATTGGATGTGAGTATGATGACCTAAGTGTAAAGTGATGAGCAAGATACAATACTTCGTCAAGTTAGCAGTGCTTGGGGGTCGATTGGCGAGGTGCACATGCGTCGAAACTGAGAAGGATACACATTCTCATGAGAAAATTAAAATAAATCAATTTGTTTGATTCTGAAACGAATGAGGCGAAGTTCATTTTTGATCACTATCTCAATTAATGATCACCTGTCTCTGGGTGTTTGGGAGTACTTTCGCGAGACGAGTTCAACCATTATCAGTAAACCTTGATTGAATCAAAGAGCAGTTGGAAATTGAGATGGTGGACATTAATCATAAGAGTAACAATCAAAAGATTGATCCAATATTATTCCAGACACTTGGTTTGGCATCAGATTAGATATTAGTTGGATGATAAATTAATAAACAAACTTGATTTAGTTCCATAGCGGCTTGTGTGTTATAGTATGTGATTGATTTGAATTATTATTCCAAAATTGATAAGTTTGGGGAATCATTCCAGATACTTAATATTAAATCATTCGACCACTGAATCGATCATCAATCATATAAAAATGAAGAATTTTTAAAATCCAATCGATCTCAATTAAGCATTTCATTTATATAAAGATAAACATAGATATGTTGGAATTCAATGACAAAGTTAAATATTATTATGATAAGGAAGAGGAAGAGAATTATGAAGAGGAAGAAGAATATGATGATGATGATGATGAAGAGGTGAAGAGAGTGGTCATCGTGTTTGATGAACAACAACAACTAATAAGACTGTCAACATCATACTTTGATCAATTATCAATATTGACCTTTGTAAAGATAATCAATTGTATGAATGATAGATACTTTGAAATGATATATCTGATGCTCACTTGTAAACGATTATATAATAATATAATGAATAACAAACTGGTCAGATTCAATCAATATGCACATGATGATCTTAAACAACAATATATGAGGTTGTTGCGTTATCAATCACCTTCATATTTGCCTGCATCACTCACACATCTAGAGCTGGGACCATCGTTCAATAAACCTTTGATCAATTCGTCGCCCAATGAGGCCTCATCCCGGTCTGCCACACTGTCACTGCCTCAGTCACTCACATACCTTGACTTTGGAGATTCATTCGATCGACCGATACTGCCAGGCATGCTACCATCATCGATCACATCGTTGAGGTTTGGCAAAGGATTCAATCAGATGATAGCGCCAGACACTTTGCCCAGCTCACTCAATTCTCTCTCGCTTGGAAGATCATTCAGCCAAACGATCACTCCAGGAGCACTGCCAACATCTCTGGAAAGTCTTACAATTACTCAAGGAGCCATATTAGATTCAAGATCACTCCCGCCATCACTAATCACATTGATCGTACTAGAGTATTTTTACAATGATCGGTTCTCACAACATATCTTACTGCCTCATACATTACAGACTTTGGTTCTTCCATTCTTTTTTGACTTTCCACTGATTGATGGCGTTAGTGGGATGGCGATACTACCTCAATCAATAAGGAAGTTGAAATTTGGAGTTGGATTCAATCAACAATTGCCCGTAGGGTCATTGCCAAGTTCTCTCACAGAGCTGAACCTGGGAGGATACAATCATCCAGTCACATTGACCGATTGCCTCGCATCATCATCATCATCACAAATCACATCATTGACATTTGGTGATTCATTCAATCAAGGGATCATGCCTGGCGCACTACCCCAATCACTCACATTGTTGAGTCTGGGAATTCAGTTCAATCAAGAGATCGCACAAGGAGTGTTGCCAGAGTCACTCGGGACATTGATCACCAAGTCCAAATATCTGGTCAAAGTGGCAGGCTGGTCGTATCCAAAATCATTAACGTCAATGCTCATCGGTTTTGAATACACAATTGAGCGTGAAAGCATACCATCATCGCTCACATCACTGGAATGTATCGATACCAACATGGACTTAAGTGGCAACCTACCTCAACTTGGCTCACTGGTCGAGCTGAAGTTTGCCCCCGATTACAAATGCATCTTTGAAGGTAATGATTCTGCCTTTTCGAGCATCAGATGTCTGGAGCTTGGCAAGCGTCTCGCCAAATACGGTAGGTATGCAAGTGTTCCAGAGATGCTCACTCATCTTACTTTGAGTGGGTGGAAGGACTTTGGCTTCTTGCATAAAACGTTGGAGGGTACTCAGCCACGTCGTATTAACCTATTGATCAAGGAGATGTTGAACATTGGTGTTGGGGCCAACGTGCCTCCGTCATCAATCAGTCTCAAGTCATTCACATTGTGGGGCACGATACACAGTGGACGACGTGGTGGTCGTCGCATACCCAACCGTGAGGCACAGTTTGTCCAAACATTAGTTGCCAATGTACCCAATGTTGAACTATACCGCATTGGATTCCAATATGATCAAGAGTATGGCTTTCAGAAAACAGTACACGTTCGGATGATTGATGAACAACATGCAGCGTGTATCATTCGGGTCCATGTCCAAAGGGACCAATACAATGACTATGATCCATTGTACTTCCAAACACTTCATTTCACATGTGATTAGATGTAGATAATAAATAATAAACATGATGTGATTGATTGATGCCTCGGGACATCCATTCGTTCATTCATTCATTCATTCATTCATTTCCATCAACTATGATCCACCAAGTAGACGCTTGGTCTCCTCTGACTTCCTCATATGTATAATCTGTGTCGTGTATGAGTATACCCAGAAGTTCCAAATACCTGATTGATTGAGTGATTGAATGAGTGAGTGATTGGAATAGTTCCATGGAAGAATGATTGATCTTACCTTGTGATGGTATTAGGATACTCTCAAAGACTAGGAGTGGATAGAGTCTACATCCAGTAGCAAACTCGATGATGTGCTGTATAATGTCTGGGAACCAAATGATTATAAATACAAGAATATACATTGCCAGTCTAGTTGTAATTGTAATGTCAATATGTCTTAAACGATCTGTTTGTTGTTGTTCAATTGATTGATTGATCATTTGATTGACTGATTGAGTAAGTATATTGATCACACACGATAGTGATGTGATGGACATATATAGTGCATTCCAAGCATACCATTGATACCAAGTCTTGATTGGAACTTCTCACGGAATAATCTCTTTAAACGAATGTAATAGAATATACATATAATCATACACAATGTCAATGGTACGAACCATAAACATATCTCTTGTACCCATTTAAGTTCACACCTAACATCCATTGATTGATTGATTGAGTGAATGAGTGAGTGATTTGGAATGATTCCATTGATGTCCAAATATGGATACATACCATCCAGATGATGTAACAACTATTGAGTTGGAGAATACCAATGATGAAGTGATCACAAATGATATACCAAGTGCAATTCCAGAGAATATCTTTAAGAGATGTGGACTGGAATAGGAGTGTGAGTGATTGGAATAGTTCCAGTATGTGAGTGTAGACTTACTTTTGATCATGAACTGGCGATGCAAGTTGAGTGTAGAGATAGAATGATATACATGCAGTCCAAAAGAATGTGGAAAGGTACCAGAATTGGATGTTGGCTCGAAGGAATATACAAGGTGATAGGTAGAATCCTAATATATGCACGGTCTTTGTGTAGTCCCTCATGTCGCTGAGCAGGTATCCAGTTGAGGCAATGATATCAATCGATGAGAATAGATCAGACACTGCCAGCATGAACACCAAGAATGGTAGTCGAGAGTATGTTGTATTTCTATTGTTATAAGGTGTGGTTGTTGATCCATGGCTGCTGCTGTTGCTGCTGCTGCCACCACCGCCAGTTGAATGTGTATGCGTCGCAGTCATATATTGCATCGAGTCATTCTTGTTGTTATTTGACGTGGATGATGTTGATGGGTTGTTGGCTGCAGCGGCCTTGTCCACCAAGTACTCATTATATCGCCTGTAAAGATAGAACGTAATTGTGAGCAGACTACCAATCACAGATAGTGCAGCGATCACTATATTGATAATGTACAACGCCTGTCTCTGTGATTGTGATGGCGAGGCACAGTCTGGCATGTCTTCTACTTTGTCTATTTGATTGATTGATTGACTTTATGTGATTGAATGAATGATAGAATGAATAAGTGATTAGGAATAATGAGCCTCAGAGTGTAGTGTAGTGGCTCTGGGAACAAGATGATAAGTTGATGGAAGAAGTATCAAGGTGGTTCACACTAGGCCTCCAAATGGTGGAACTAGGGGGAGGAACAGACACCATCTAGGGGGTGGTTTATGTTGGTGATAGGGTGGGTCGGGATCAAAACACACATCTTTCAACACAGCAGCAAATATCATCACCTGATCGTTTTGATCAAAAAAACAACAGATATTTCAAGATATCTCTAAAAATATAAATCCGAACATGGTCAAGTGGTAAATGTAATAAAGTTTGTAGAATATGAATAACAAAAGGATAAATATTATCTAAGAGATAACATAGAAATGAAAAGATTCATTTTAATCACTTTTACAACAAATAATCATTCAATCATTAAGATATATAAACATTCAATTAAGAATTAATTGATAGATATTAATACTTTAAAAAGTAATTAAATGAATGTTATATTTGATTAACATTATTAGAATTCCAATGACTATTCATTCATTCAATCATTGACATGTTCGAAGATACACACACAACATTTCAGGCCAATTTGGCGGCTTTTGTGAAAAGACCGAGGAGGTGTGCGAGTGTTTGGAAGTCCAAATGAAGTCAAATAAAGTTGTGTGTTTGAAGCCTTCAACAATCATTCATTCATTCATTCATTCAATCATTATCACAGGTAGAGAGTATATATAAGTGTACAACGACCTGCTTTGTGTGTATCTGTACATAACCTTTAATTATTATTATCATTATTATTTATAGAGAGAAGAGAACAATAAAGATAGAGCGAGAGAGAAGAGAGAAGAGACAGAAAGTTTGATAGATTGATTGATTGAGAGAGCGATCATATTTCAACAGTAGATATACATAGATCATATATACATATACACTATATAGATAAGGAAGGATGGGGTCGGTGGCACATCGTCAACGAAAGGGCGCCAAACATAACATTAGTCAACAACAAGTTCAAGATGAGGACGAGGAGATCGACATTATGAATGATAGTGATGATGATGATTCATCAACCACTACAACTCTAATGATGAGTGGCAGTAGTTACACTGCCAATGCTACAACTACAACAACAGCAGCGGCAGTATATACAGTGGCACCACCAACAATACATCATCTGCGGAAGAACAACACAAATAGTAGCAGTAGCAACAGCAATAGTAGCAGTAGCAGTAGCAGTATTGGTGGCAAGAGTACAATGAAGAAGCAACAGCAACATCGCGACGCCAATCATGTCACCAGTGAGTCAAGCGACGATGAATCATCATCAAAGGTTGCATCTAAAAGGTATGTGGAAGGTCCATCAATCATGCCATCCCGAATGAATGAATGAATGACTGACGATCAAACATACATAGACCATCAAGGAGTGATGATGACAGCACAAAGAAGAAGCAGAAGCAGAAGAAGAAGTCTACGACTACAACTACAACGACATCGACTACGGCGAATTCAAAGAAGAGGAAGAGTGGTGATGGAGGATCAACATCGACAGCATCATCATCATCATCGACAAGCGACAATCAATCAGGAAAGACAAAGAAGCATCGAAAGAGTGGAAGTGAAGATGGCATACATATTACAAAGGAGGAGGACGAAGATGTCACTGTTCAGATAAACGATGTCGAGAACTTTGATCAAAGTTCGAGCAGCAACAACAACAACAGCCCAGGCAGGAGTACTATTGCAACAAAGATGCCACCAAGTAATAGTAGTGGCAATAAGCTGAGTCGTCATTATCAGCAACATACAACTGTGCCACCGAAGCTAAAGAACAAGAAGCTGCCACATTCAAACCTGCGATACTCTACCACGGCAGAGACCACGCCAGATCACAGCAGCAGTGGCTCAGACACTGAGATCAACATCAACACATCAGACAGCGAGCGAGACGATGTCAAAGGCAAGGACAAGGGCAAGGACAAGGACATTGGTGTGGACAAGGACAAGGACAAGTCAAAGTCCAAGGACAAGGACAAGACCAAGGATAGCGACAAAGACAAGGACAAGGACAAGGATGAGGATACATCAAAGAAAGAGAGAAAGAAGGAAAGAGAGAAGAAGAAGAAGAAGGAGAAGGAAAGAGAGAAGGAGAAAGAGAAGGAGAAGGAGAAGAGCAGGAAGAAGAAGAAGAAGAAGTTGCTGAAACAGCAACAGGAGCAACAAGAACAACAAAAGCAACAACAACAGCAGCAGCAACAGCAACAACAACAACAGCAAGAGTTACATCATGAACAACAACAGCAACAACAACAGCAACAACAACTTCAGCTGCTGCAACAACACCATCATGTGGTGCAACCAAACACGACGACATCCAACGAACTGGATCACACATTCCTGGCGCCATTGCCCACGATACCTCTCTCCTCCAAGCACAATCAGCATCATCATAGTCACCCTTTCCATCCACATCCACATCCGCACCCACATCCACATCCACATCATCACATGCCCGAGCACTCGGCAGCCCCACCCTCGCTACCATTCTTTGCTCCATTTTCGCCAATGATGACTTTCCCCATGCCACTGGCTTCACCTATATCACCGAGCGTCATGGACCTGGCACCACTGCCCATGCTCTCGCCAGTGTGCTCGCTAACGTCACCGCTCTCACCACTATCTCCTCTGCAATCGCCCGTGTCGCCATCGTTCGCGACGATCAAGGCCGACGAGAGGAAGGAGCGACACCCCAATAGCATCTTTGGCAACCTGCTCACCAAGAAGGAGCCGGTCGTCGTCAACAACCAGCCCGTCAAGCATCTCTCCATTGGCCCCAACAATCCCACCATCCTCATGCATTCGATCATATCGGCGGCAACCAACAAGGTGGCGGCGGCGGCAGCAGCTGCACACGCAGGAGCCACCGGAGTCGGCGGAGTCGGGGGCGCGCCATCCACCGATCAGCTCAACACGATCGTGTCGGCGCCAATGTCCCTCGTTCTGCCTTCGTCCATACCAAAGTCATACAGCTCGCTGCAGGGCGCGGCCGACCAGCAGGGCCTGATCGGTCTGTCAACGGCTGGCATGTCCAGCTCCAAGCGCTCAAAGCGATTCACAATGGACCCACACGTGCAGAAGCACTTCCAGGCCACGGTGTGGTACGAGGAGGAGAAGATGCTGTTCCGCGAGCTGTTCTGCGCGTATGGTCGCGAGTGGCACATCATCTCCACACTGATGTGCGGCACCAAGTCACCGACACAGATCAAGAACTTTTACTACGACGTGCGACTCACACTTCTGGCGCCATTGTTTGGCCTACAGATGGATGAGACGAGGGCGCGCATCACCATTCCGCATCAGGCACAGGCGCCTCCCTCACCCGTCGCATCAGCGACCACTCTAGACTCTGGCGCATCGCCAATTTCTGACACACCGATGGCAACACCCACAGGCCCGGCAACGATGGCAACACCCACAGCCACCGCCGCCACAGCTACTGCTTCACAATCACCCTACACGCAAGCCACGCCCACAGTTGCTGGCCCCAGCCAGCTTTGAAGAGGCCGTCCATCTCTGATGAAGACCCTCGCATGAAGAAGAAGGCAAGAGCATCAAGGAGAGTATGTTTATCGATCGCCATCCCAATGACTCGCTCGCGCCTAGCTGATCACTAACGACACAATCCTAAACTACGCGCAACACAGTCATTCAGATTCAGCAGGAATGTAACGGCACAGTCAAGACTGCCCAAGAACCCTTCAAAGATCAACAAGAAGACGACAACAACAGAGAGCGTTAATGCCTTGGCAGAGTATCAGGTGGGCGCAGCAGCATTTTATTTCTATCAGCACTATGAGATCTTCCCGCAGGGCAAGTGGTTCGAGGTGAAGGTGTTGGACGTTGGCGACGAGACCACACCCAAGCACGCGACAAACAACACCCTGCCCACCGAGCCCAAGAACATCGACAGCGTCAAGGGACCCAAGTACAAGGTGGTCATGTTCAACATGAACAAGACCAAGGGTTTCTGGGTCGGTGCGGACGAGCTCAAGCGCGAGATGGGTGTCGGTCAGGAGGTCTGGGAGTTCAGTGCTGACCCCGAGGAGGAGCAGCAACCCGTGGTCCACAGCCACCACAATCACCACCACCACCTCCAAGGCCCACCCACTCAAACAGTCATTCAGACACAGATGGTCATCATGTCGACGGCCGGACAGGACACTGTTGGCAAGATTGTAGAGTCAGTGCTGCAGTCAACAGATCGTGTCAAGTTGCAGCTGTGGCTGGAGGCCAAGCTCGACACAATGACGCCCAATCCCAACATCAAGTTCCCAACATTTGTGCAGTCGACTGCCAAGACTGAGCCTGGCACAGTGGCACGCGAGTCACTCGCATCAATACCGGCATTCTCAGCGGACTTTCTCAATGTTGGATCAATGTCTGTGGTGGCCAAGCAGAAGTGCTTCTTTGAATACATCTCATCGATCTTTGAGGAAAAGGACTTCATATCGAACTACAACTCGATCTTTGGCAGCTGTCAGTACATCTCAGACATCAATGACAGGTCCATCATCACACTTCTCTTTGACAATGTTCTAAAGGCTGCCGAACAAACAGTCACAACACTCCTAACAAAGGACATTATCATCAAGAAGGCACCATCAAGCATCACTTCCACGATCAAAGAGAAGCCAGCGATCACATATCCCCATCCACATCCACATCCACAGCCTCAGATATCTCAAACTGCAACAACAACTATGAGAGCGACACAAATGCCCAACAACAAAACAAACATCACAACTCCTGCCGTAGGGACGCCGCAGGCAACTCAGACAAGACCACAACAACCACAACCACAACAACAACCTCCTCAGAGTAAACCAATGGCAACAACAACGACGACTACAACTCAGCCAGCTCCAGCTCCATCACCAACGGTCCCTGCACCCTCTTCGACTCCAGTAGCAACGCCACCAGCACCAGGTGGTGCTACCCCTGTACTATCCAAACAACCTGCAGTAACATCAACAACTTCTACAACACAAACGACGACTACTGGCACAGCAACAATTACACAGACATTGGCCAAGCCAATGGCCACGACCACGACGACACAACAAGTTACAACAGCACCAGCAGCACCAGCAGCAGCTAAGCCAATGGCAACTACGACGACACAGCCATCAGCATCAGCAGCAGCAGCAGCGCCAATGATATCAAAACCAAGTCCGAACTCGGTTCCTCCCACAACAGCGACAACAGCAGCACCAAGACCCATTGGTGCTACTGCACAACCTCCAACTCCACAGCCACCACCTCCAACCACTCCATCCACATTAAAGAGCAGTCCACAGCCTATTACGAGCCAACCCAAGGCAGCAGCTCTGACGACCAACACCAACATAGCCGCGACAACATCAACGACAACAACAGCACCAACACTATCATCATCTTCACAACCTCTACCAGCATCATCATCGATCCAGAAGCAACCAGCTAAACCAGCTGGTACTACTCAACCGCCACCTGCACCAGCAGGTGCCTCAACGCAGAAGCCAATTGCTGCCTCTCCATCCCAACAACCACCACCATCAATATCAACGCCAACTACACCAATGCCGACATCATCCCCTGTTTCAAAACAACATTCAACTGGCACACCAGCAATGCCCAACACTGCGCCAGTCAAGAAGGGAACTATTCAAGGGCCACAGGTGATCATAAATGCAGCTGGTCAAAAGATATACACCTGTCCATGTTGCATTCACAAGAACCCACCAAAGGTACCTCCACCCTCAAACATTCAGCAACAGGTGGCCAAGCCAAGGCCAGCCACATCAACAACGCCTGGCGCACCTACAACAACAGCACCTGGCACGGTCAAGCCACCAGCACCAGCAGCAAGTCCACAGACCCCTCAGACCACTTCATCAAAGGTTGCACCGACTCAGCAGACTACGACAGGTGCAGCTGTAGCACGTCCCCAGACAGGACCAACGACTGGCACTGGCCCAAGCACTGTTCCATCGGCAATGTCCAAGGGTCCTCCAACACCAGTAGGACAACCGACAATGGTGTCAAAGCCAATGGCAAAGCCATCCTCCTCCATAACCACAGCAGCTCCTTTGGCCAATGGACAAGGAACGACCCCTATCCCGATCAAGACACAACCTGGCTCATCCACAACCGCGACTACACCTACACCTCCTTCATCTTCCACCATCACATCCTCATCTACGCCACCTGTAAAAACCCTTAACACTACAACAACATCGACAACAATAGCGACGTCCAACAACAACAACGCCGCCACAACCACCACCACTCATGTATATCCACACGCTGGCACATCCACAACCTTCAATATCCTCTTCAATCCAGAGAAGAGCCACGCACCATATAAGCTATTCATTGGTAAACGAGAACTGCTACTAGAGTGCAGGCGACTACTCCGTCTACAATGTTCAAGGATCAGTGACCTCAACAAGCAGAGTAAGTTATCTTCAGCCAACCCAACAATGAACATGTACACTAACAAACAAACAAACCAAACAAATTAGACATTGAAAGCGAGAAGGATACGATAGAGGTGATCAATCGAATGAAGGAACTCATCAAAGAACTCTCGGACTACAAGTTCCTGTTGCTAGAGACTGCATCTGAGCGCTACACAATATTCAAGCAATCGATTGGAATTGAATAAAGCAAGCAAGCAAGCAAGCAACCTTGATGAGATAGACGTGTCCCCAAACGAGGACTTGATTGATAAACTAAAGACAACACCATCATGGTCCACACTCGCAAACTTGATTGATCGATCGGATTGGTTGATTGATCATATTCATTTGAAAGAAGAACGAAAGACACTTGAATAAAGTGCTCCCAAATTGAGGGACACTGCTGACTGGAACTTTGTTGTTGAGTTGGTTGATATTGGTTGTGAAAGACGACATTGATCACTTCTTTCTTCCCTTTCCTTTGATCTCGGTGTCGGGTACGACGTGGACACATATCTTGATGTCCTTTGGAGCGCTTGGATTCATTCCTCGTGACCAATCGTATGATACACCATAGGCATACAATGTGTTGTCTGCATTGAATGACGCCGAAGTGATAGAGTTGGGCTGTTTGTTGAATTGCTTTAGTCTGCTCTTTGAGTCCTTGTCCCAGAAGCTGAATGTTCCATCTGATCCTGCTGTGGCAAACGTTGTGTATCGATGAGCAAATGAGATATTGTTGACTGCATATGCCACCTCTGGCTTTTGTGAGCTCTTCTCCACCGGGTCTCTATGACACTTGAATGTGAATGTATAACTGATGTTTGATTGAGACCAAGTGAATGATGTGTTATGTCATGTCAGTGTTGTGTGCGTTGTTGACAGGCTCTGTTATCTCACTCAAGGGTACTACTACTTACTCTGGATTCTCTTCGAATGATTGAATGGCAACTCTTCCCTCTATTGAACCAAGGGCGAATCCCTTCTGATCTGTGAACAGGGCGATACATCTTGTTTGATATTTGAGTGGGGATTCAATGCTCTACATATGATTGATCGATTGATTGATTGAATGAGTAAGTGAGATGATTTTCTCAATCAGTAGTTGCACTATATATAACATACCTTGAATGGTTGGTTTGGATTGTTCATGTTGAATACATGTGCCTTCCTGTCAGCGGTCGCAATGGCCAATGTCTCACCGACAACGTCCATTGAATAGACACGCTCTGGTAGATCGATTGAAAAGACTGGATTCTGTTGTCTGATGTCCCAGTACTTGAGTGTCTTGTCCCAGCTACCTGTGACCATTACATTCTTCTCTTTAATCCAAAACAGGTCCTTAATAGGTGCGTTATGCTGAGGGTGATAGAATGTTCATTTGTTAGTTGATTGATCGATTGATTGATCGCGAAGATGATACATACCTGAGCGATCTGTGTAAGTTGATTGGTAGCCAAGTCCCACAACTTTGCCTTGTTATCACATCCTCCTATCATCACTTTAGTGCAATCCTATATGTATGAGGAACTTGAATGTTAGTTATATCGATTGATCAACATGATTGAATGAATGAATGGTCGTAGTGATGAACATACAGGCATCCAATCTGTACATAGAATCGGTGCTTCGTAGTCAGCCATTGCCTTTGGTACACCTTGAGGTGCTGAGTAGCTCGATGCAGTGATCTCCCAACATCTGACCTTGTTATCCCATGATCCTGCAATGAGATAGTTCTGCTGTGGTGAGAACTTCAAACATGAGATACTATCACTTGGAGGACTTGGCAGTTCTGTATCACCTTGTGAAAACATTATTTATTGATTATAAAACAAAGGGATGTATGTATATATGAATATGTTGTTATTATTATTATTATCTGTTTGTTATAAAACAACAATGAAGATTGGCGCTTCATCATGTATTTAAAACTTTGCTTTGACCCATAACTTTAACCTAAAAAATGAAATCTGATGCTTTTGGTGAACTTGCGTGGTACCAGCTCAGATCTGACAAGTTTGGATACATAACTTTATCACTTCTATGTTTGGTAGTGTTACATTGTCAATAGAATGATTCTTGGAAAATAGCATAGATATCCTCTCTAGAGCTAGCTTGAGTTGAAGACAGGTCACAATTATTTGTTTTAATCAATACAACAACAAACAGATAATACTAATACTAATAATAATAATAACAATGTTAGCTCATATGTCTATTATTAGTAATGTTCTAACTAATAGAACATTATTAAGATATATAATTTCATTGTTTAGATTATATAATAGTAAACAGATTGTAAACAGTTGGTCAACTACAACAGTGATGAACAAATTATATATTCAATTGCTTAGTGATGGGTTCAAAGAATCTCCATCAATGTCATCTTATGATCAATGGACTGAGGCTGCGGCCATTATCAAACACAATCACTTTGGTCTTCTACGAGATAGAATCAAACGAAGTCTGCACATCAATCTCTGCTCGAATGATGTTACACAAATATGTTCAAGCTCCACCATCGACAAGGACACATTCACAATGTTCTACAATCGCTATCAATCATACTTTGACAATACGGACTGTCTTATGAATGCAGTCAAAGCTGGCAACCTGCCTGTTGTTCAGATACTTCTCGAGCAGACCAAGCCTGTTGTGTTTAAACGAGAGGTCGAATTGATGAAGGAGGCAATAGAGCGCGGTCATTACTACGTCGTCAAATACCTTTGGGATCTTGAAACACCATCGCATCGTGCCGAACTGGAGAGACGATATAAGTACCTGGTCAAGAGGGTCCTCGCAAAGAGATCGTCCAATACCATCCGTTTGATGCTCGAACCAAACTCATTCACAAAGGATCTTGCCGACAAGTATCTGACATACTCACTACAAAGACCACAAGACATCATACTCACAGAGGACCAACAACTCATCGAGTCATTGCTACCTGATATTGCAACATCAATCAACGATGGTGAGCCAATACCATCGATGATGAGCAGACTTGGACAACAGGCTGAGAAGTTAATAGCACAACTCAGGCTAATGTGCTCAAGTTGTTCAATCGATACAGATGGTCTAAATGATATCGCATCATCGTTACTTGAGAAATCAATCAAGGACACAACATCATTACAACAACAACATCATGTTCCAGTCCAATCTCAAAGTACACTGGACGATGGTACTCGACTGGCCTTTATCAAGATTGGCGAGTTGTCTACAATCATCAAGGCAAAGACAGTGTTGAAGAAGAAGATTGATCGTGCCAAGTATCAAACATTCTTTTTGGATGATTATATACGAAGTGGTGACAGCCATCTCATACCATACCTGATCGATCGAAACATTGCCAAACACTACAGAGTCTTCAACAGCATTGTCAAGTATGGTTGTGTGGAGCAGGCTCATTTGGCAATCAAACATATAACATCAAATGTTAATCCTGGTGCCCCACTCAAACGTCTCCCCACCACGCTCTATCAGAGCTTCCTCGATGCCCACGATCATAACAAGAGTCTCAAAGTGATCATCTATCTCAACTCAATGGGCATCACTGTGAAGAAGAATATTGATCGTCGGATGTTCAATGGTACAATGGACATGTTGCAATTCTTATTGTCCGATGGCAACAAGATATTCCCTTTGAATAGGTTGTCACTGTTTGTGTTTGACGGCAAGCAGCTCGAGTATTCCATGAGTACCAAGCCGAATCTTATCAAAAGGGAGTCCATCAAGTTTATTGCCAAGTTGGCCGCAATGAATGACAATACAGATATCATACAGGTACTACGACAACGCACTCCAAACCTTCTCACCCACTGTTTCCTAAGTCGATATTCATTGCTCAATGGTGGTCCTCATCTAAGTGTCTTCAAACTGCTCACAGAGGCCAAGTTGTATGATGAAACATGCAACTATTTTTGGTCGGATGTTGGCAAGCTTGGCAATATCCAATTGTTGGAACATATCTTGGAGCACTGGCCTATGACGAGCAAGGATACAAGGCGTCGATCATTGCATACCATGTTGGAAAATGCTACAAGATGTTCACAACTCAATTTCATGATGCATTGTTTTGAACAACATACGAAGATGATGCCTCAAGCACATAACTATATCACTCTGGCCATTATGAATTCAAATTCAAACCTTGTGGACAGTCTATTCTCCATCGATCCCACTGCCTGTAAAGGCAAATTTGAGGAGCTGATTCAAACTGCCATTCAGGATTACTCCCGTGTTGGACCACTCGATTGTGTCTTGGAGTGGTCCGACAAGCTCGACGTCAAGTCACACGTCCTGACAACCATTCTGCCTACAAAGACAAAGATGTTGATCAATAGACATGAGGTCCAAATGCTACAACATCTCTTGGACATTGGAGCAGTGTTTGATACAAAGGGCGTGCACATGATGGAGGCCTACAAATCAAATCCATCAATTCAATCGATAATTGCAGAGTATAGACTACGGAACTACGAGAATAAGAAGCGTTCAATGGACAAACAAACAACATCTACAAAGCCAACCAAGGTGACAAAGAACTGATCATAATAAACAAATGTTGGTCAAGTGATTGATTGGGTAGAAGTGGATGTGGGGGTGGATAGTTGGAAAGTTGGAAACAGGGAACAAAGTGGGAAAGTCGACCCATTATTGATTGGTTAAGTGATACATTAGTTGGCAGCTGCTTTCGGAGGGCTAAAGCCTTACTAGTTACTTCGTTTACGCAAAATCATTAGGTCGTGGGTTCAACTCCCTCGGTGTGTATCCAATCACACCTAGCTCAGCGGAAGAGCAAATGAATAACATACCTCCTAGTCGCTGCAAACCCTCTTTTTAACCATGTTGGTTCTAATCACCTTGGCAGACTATTGGTGATTGACCCTTAATAGACAAGTTGACCATGATTGCCATGAGGTGGATAAATCCATAGTTGGGGCGGAGACTTCTTCGAGATGTCCAGTGTCCATTCTCTGGTTTGATCAATCAAATAAAATAGTTGGAAATAAATAAATAAATAAATAAATATATTTTACATGATTACTTCACTCCATCCATATCAGGTGATATTGATTGATGCTGGAACACTATGGTTGTTGTTGTTGTTGAACTCGGTGCTCTAGCAAGAGTGACTTTTCATACATCTCGTCATCATTCAATATCTGTCGCTCGTGAAGTAGTTGTTGGAGTAAATCCACTCTCTTCAATGGATAGGCCTGTTGACGATAGCTATCCATCGTGTTGATAATACAATGTATCGATCGCATCTTGTCCAGATTGAGTACGCTCACATTGCCAACAACACTACTTGGTGAATGACCTTGAATATGATGTTGATTGGGTTGCTCGAGTAGTGTGGCAGATGAGTCACCTATCGCGAAAAGGTCCTTTGAATAGATGCCAACGTAGGGGATCAGTGGCGCTTTGGATAGGTGCAGGCGCTCGCGATACGCCCTGTGATTGTTGTCGCTGTCAAACAATGCCTTTAGTGCGTCGAATGTGAGCATCGACTTCTTGGACACCTTCTCCCAGCTCTGTGCCAAACGTTTGATTGCATAGTGTTGTAGTCCCATGGTGAGCGCATAGCTGGCGTGGAAGTTCTTGATCTCCAGCAGGTTGTTGGCAATCTCAATGAATCGCTCAAAGATAACGGCGCGCTGGGCTGGCGTGGGCACAGCCACGACCTCTGATCCCACCCATGAGCTCCATCGATTGAAACTAGCCACCATATTATGGAACATTGGCGATTGCTCCGGCTTGTCAAAGCGATTGAGCAGGAACTCTTGCTTGGACAGCTGTTTGAATGTGCGCTCGTCGATCAATGTCACCTGCATCGCGATCTCGGACAAGTCGGCATCAAAAATGTCAAAGACACGAGCCGATCTTGTGTTCGCCAGCATATGCATGTGTTCGCCTTGGTGTGTCTGACTGCGTGCCAACGGAGCAACCTTGCCAAAGGATGATGGTGATACATTGGACTTGCCCACGGGCAACAGATAGCTGTAGGCATCGATCGCGCTCAGACTAACAAGGTCGCCATCGAGCAGGAGTTTGGATCGCTCAAAGAGGTAGTCTAGCTGCTTGATCTCCTCCTTTGATGCACTGAGTGTCTCCTCTCGGGCAAATGTGCCAATGAGTCGCAACACCTCGTTGCCATCGGGTGTGGGCCAGAATATTGCTGGTCGAGTCTCGACCACACTGCGCAAGACAAAGAGCACGCGCTCACGGAGCTTGGACTTCCATGACAAGCCAAAGTCAATGCTCTGGTGACCGATAAATATACCGACCAGTGTCTGTACGTACTGGAATGTCGACATGAAGTATTCGTTGTGTGTAAGGTTGAATGTATCCAGCAGTGCATCATCAACATAGTTTACATCCGTCAACTTGGATATAATCCTATCGATTGGTGCAGTCTTTACAATCTGGCGACCCTTCTTGATCATATAATGTACATTATCGCTCATATCCTATATGTGTGAGTTCGTGCCAGAGTGTGAGTAAGGTGTACTTGTTGCCAGGACCCATGTACCCAACACTTACGGATAGGATATCCAAGTGGTTGTCAAGGATGTAGTTGAATAGGCGGATTGATGCCTGAGTGGAGGGAAGGTCGAGAGAGGCGCCAATGGTCAGGGGTCCAAAGACTTGTGAGAGCTGGTCGTGGATCTCACGCTTGGTCGGATATAGTGACATAGACATGGACATTGAAGCGCTTAGGCCAAATGCCTGCATGTCCGGATTGATGATTGAGCTACGATACAGGTTGACATGGTGGTCGGTCAGCCTAACAAAGTGACCAATCAGCTGACGGAACAGTGACCAGCATGCCTCGTGGCGGGAGAAGATCACGGATCGTACCATACTCAGCTTGTAGAATGGCTCGTCGACGGCGTCGCACGCCAGCAGTTCCTCGGGGAGCAAGGGTTGTGGCAGCGATCGCAGGAAGTGTTTGAGAAGATCACCTACATCATGGGCTGGCGTGATGAAGTGTTTGAAGCAGTCCTCCTTGCCACGTTTCGTTTGCAGGATCAGTGATTCAAGCATCGACACTGATGGAGGCTTGCCAAGGCTCTGTCCCGCAGAGGTGTCATCGCTGGACTGCAACAAATCTTCCATCTCATCCATTGATATCTCTGTCATTCCAATCGCAGGTGGTCTATCATAACGCGATAGTTCAGTGGCGGTGGCTGTTGGCTTCATTGCATTGATGACCTTGCTCTGTTGCTGCTGCTGCTGATGTTGCTGGAGGTATATAGTGATGATTGTGTTGGTAGAGGACAGTTGCTTGTTGCTGCCCTCGACCATGGCCTCAAGGTGCTCAAACAGTCGTGTGGCAAAGATGGGACATGCCGAGCGGTCGTCAACGCGCAGCTGTTCGATGGGCACACCAAACACATCCTCTCTCAAGTACATCTGTGACGTGTCCTCCTTGCTCTTCCTCGATATGAGCATCTTGTTGATGCGCTCGTGTGACTCCATGACGTTGCCCAACTTTTTGGCAACGCGGCCACCGCCCTTCATAATGTTTAGCAGCGTGTTTGTACGTTCACGTGTGACCACTGGGGCGTCCTTGGGTGGAGAGCCTACTGTTGTTGGAAACTCTTGCTCGTTATTCTTTGGTGATGAAGGGGGGCTGGGAGTAGATGCCTGGGCCACGGGCTTGCCAAAGGTGAGGGACATGCGGCCAGCCTTGAGTGGAGTTGAGTACTTCTGTCCAAGTTGAGTATCTGGTGCCGATGCACCAGTGATTGTTGGTGATGTCGTGCTTGAAGCTTCGCTCGTGGATGTTGTTGTGTGATTGTCTTGTTGTTGTTGTTGTTGTGTCTGGTGCGACTTTGATGGTTTCTTTGTGACGAGCTGATGTACAATATTGTCAATGACCTTCTTCTTCTTGGATGAGTATGATGGCATTGAATCACTCCTTGATCGAACTACCAGCAGGTTGTCCGATGTCTGGCTGCGATCCTTGATACTGAACGATGTGAAGCGTACACGGCCCTTTGGCTCCTGTCCAGCCGCCGCAGTCGATGACACCTTTGGCATGAGCATAGTGATTGGCTTGACATCTGACAAGGCCTGTACATGGTTCCACTGTCTCAAGCAAGCCATATGCACTGCATCTACGTTTTCAAACATTCCAAAGACATACTATTTGATTGATTAGGTTGTTAGTGTGTGTGAGGGGTGATGCTGGGCCGGGGCTGGAACTATTCCAATCAAAACATACCTTGTGACTTCCGATGGCCAATTCGATGGAGCTGCCAATGACGAGGGAGGTCACTCGCTTGATACGACGAATGTCGCGGAATGAGAAACATTCCTTGATCTCGCTCTTGAAGATCATGCTGTAGAAGCAAATGTATGATGATGTGATGTACAGTTTGCCAGCCTTTGAAATATGTCTACGATATGCGCATGGATACTCTGCCAACAGGGCCTCGCCTTTTGGCAAACCAAAGATCGCAACAACATCAATCTTGTCCTTTGACAAGGTGGTCGTCGATGACTCTGTCGCGCTCGCCGTCGTTGGGATTGAGCCAGAGGCTTGAGTTGATGTCGCTGAGCTATCATGCGACGATTGCAACAGCAATCCTTTGACCTTTCCAACAATGCTGTGCTTGCGATGCATGAGTGGGGAGTTGGGCGGTGCACTGACTTCTTTGGGAAGTAGCGATATCTTGTTGAGTGGCAGCGGGTCGACGATGGGCGGCAGCGACACCACGGGTAGCTGAGGCATCGACGAAGACATGTTCTTGCTGGGCGATGGTGCTGGTATCGAGCCACTTGTCTTGAGTGGTGTGGGTGGGAGAGGCTTGCCATTCGACGAGGAGGTGGATGGCGGCGAGGGGCCTTCATGGAGCTGTGAGTTCATTCCTGTTTGGAGATGGAATGTTGGCGATTGATAATGTGATGGTGATTGATTGGTTGAAGCTGCGCGCACTCTACCAATGGTGCCTACACGCCATCCGCCTCCACCGCCTCCAGGTGGACTTCCAGGTCCATCCATCTGAGGACTCTTTGGTCTCGAGAACATCGATGGTGATGTTGATGTGGTGATAGTTGTCGTAAACATCGTCTGTTTCCTATAGGGTAGTGGTGACTTGCCTGGTGTTGGAGGTGACAGCTGAGTTGTATGTGTTGTAGTAGTAGTATCAGGTGATAGTTGTTGATGTTGTTGTTGTTGTTGTGGTGGCTTGCCACCTATGATTGTAAGTGGTGGTGTGGGTGGCAATGATTTAGAGGGTGGCATATGTGGCAGTGGCTTCAGAGGGAATGTTGTCAATGACCCAACATGAGGAGGATGTGGTGATGTCGATGGTTTGAATGACATCCCTATCTATATATATATGTATATATCTATCTAAGAATGTATGTGTATTTATAAATATATATGAATGAATGAGTGAATCATAGGATGTTTGATCATTATGACATCAACCAACAGTGAGTGTGATTGGATTGATGGATGTACATCCTGAAGCCAACTGATGATTGGGCAAGGTCAACAACACCGTCTAAGGAATGAGAAGTATGAATGAATTGACAGAACAGAGTAGATAGTTAGTTTGGGGGGTTGTATAAGGTCTACCCTCAAATCACTCACGTCACTCCATCCCTTCCCAATGTCATCCAGAATGAACCTGATCGGTGATTGAATGGTGGGGGGTGTTTTGAGTCGTGGCCCACCATCACAACCCACCCCCTAACCCACAAAAAACAGGGCAAAGCCCCAAAAAGGCCAACAAATCGGGGTTGTTTGACCCATCACTTCAAGTGTTTTAGTGAAATGACATTGATTGATCCATCGGAATGGAATGATCATATTTATCTCTTTCTTATCTATTACATCTTTGACATAACTTTGAGAAAAGTGAAGTGATAGATACTTTGATACAAACAGATCATTCAGTGATTCAATTGATTTGTTCTCGAATTTCTTTATACATATCGATGAGTTGGAGTATATCTTTAGACAGAATTATCTGAATGATCCCATTGACACTATTCAAATCCTTAACATTCTTTGGGAGGACGTCTTTCATCCTTTGATTTCCAGTGGTATTCCTGTCTACATAACTGGAAACTCATCATTGTTGGGATCCATTGGAAGAGGTATACATACCAGGGGGGGCCACCGTATTCATCATATCCACAACTGATGAGTCTTGTCCATCGATATTTTCCACTCAGAACCAAGTGAGTAGGATGTCGCCAAATATGATGATTGATCGATCCAACAACTGGATGATCATTTTTTGATGTTGTAAATAAAATGTAATTTAATAATATACCGATCTAGAACTCTGGAATGATTCCAAGGTAGTTGAAGGGAGTGATTGCCTTGAGCTCCTGCTTGACACTGTCAGTGACGGCAAGGGTGTCGATAAAGACGTGCAGGTCGGCGGCGGTGACCTTCTTGGCACCAGACACACGCGTCAGCTCCTTGAGTGCCTCGTATGGCTTGGGATATCCCTCACGACGAAGGATGGTCTGGATGGCCTCTGAGATGACGGCCCAGTTCTGATCGAGGTCGTGTTGCAATGATGCCTCGTTGAGCACCAGCTTGCTCATTCCACGCTGCACGGACTTGAAGGCGAGCAGTGAGTGAGCCAATGGGACACCGACGGTGCGGAGCACAGTCGAGTCGGTGAGATCGCGCTGCAGACGAGAGATTGGCAACTTGGCGGCGAGATGCTCGTAGAGTGCGTTGGCGACACCCATGTTGCCCTCGGCGTTCTCAAAGTCGATTGGGTTGACCTTGTGTGGCATGGCTGAGCTTCCAACCTCACCCTTGATGACGCGCTGGCCAAAGTACTCCATGGAGATGTAGGTCCAGACGTCGCGGCACAGGTCGATCAGGATGGTGTTAATGCGCTTGAGTGAGTCGAACAGGGCGGCCAGATTGTCGTAGTGCTCGATTTGAGTGGTGAAGCGCGAGCGCTTCAGACGTGGGTGCAGTGATGTGACAAACTGCTGGCCAAACTGGATCCAGTCGACGGTGGGATAGGCGACAAAGTGGGCGTTCATGTTGCCGGTGGCGCCTCCAAACTTGGTGGTGTGTGGGCATGCCTGCAGCTGGGCGATCTGGCCCTGCAGACGCTCGACAAACACCATGAACTCCTTGCCGACGGTGGTGGGCGTGGCGGGCTGGCCGTGAGTGTGCGCCAGCATTGGCACCATCCTTGTTGAGGTGGCAAGCTGCTGCAGTGGCTGCATGATGGCAGTGTCGAGTGCGGGCACAATCACCTCGTCGACGGCCTTGACGATCGACAGAGGGATGGCAGTGTTGTTGACGTCCTGCGAGGTGAGACCAAAGTGGATAAACTCGGTGATGGCCTCGCTGAAGCTGTAGGGGGCGGCAGTCAGGATCGACTTGATAAAGTACTCGACGGCCTTTATGTCGTGGTTGGTGGTCTTCTCGATCTGCTTGATGGCCAACGCATTGTCTTGCGTGAAGTTGGTGTAAATAGTGCGCAGCTGTTGATGCATCCGCTCGTTGTTGAGTGCTGCCAATGGTGTGATCTCTGGCACCTTTGTCAAGCTGATAAAGTACTCGATCTCGACCAACACTCTATACTTGATCAAAGCGTACTCTGAGAAGTAATCGCTCAGTGGTGCGCACTTGTCCCAATATCTACCATCGACTGGTGAGATTGCTGTAAGTTGATTGACTACAATAGATGACATTATTATTACTATTATGTATTTGTATAAGTTGTGTGTGTGTGAATGGGCTAAAGTGAAGTGAACCGACGAACGAGTCGTGCATTCATTCATTTATTCGTCGGAATCCCGAATCGCTCGAAAATGAAGATTATAGTGCGATGAATAATGCACACAAATCGCCACTTATTCTGAGTGTAGTCGAGACGTTGGTAACTTGTAAAGTGTTGATATCCAACATGAAGGTTGTGAACTCACCATGTTGTCCATTAACAAATACAAGATATTGACTGATTGGATCAATTACGAATGGTACAATAGCACCAGAGATATAATCAATCATCATGATTGATGACAACCTTCCATTAAAAGAAGTTTGTTGGAGAAGAACTAACAAGGTTGTAAGTTTGAGGAGGAGATTAACCAAGTTAGATATTCCTGTCTTCATTGTAAAGGTTTGATTGATTACAAAGACAAACTTTGACTTTGTTTGAAGTCTACTCCATCAACTTTGTTTTGAGGGAAAAGTATTCAATAATATTAATATTAATAATGATTATGTTGTTTGATCAAATAAAGTTACTGTTTATTCAGTCAGTTGAATCAATATATCTAGATGCTGTTGAGGTCGACCATGTACTCGGATTGATCCAAACATTTGTATTGCTTTATGTAGTTTAGGGTATGCTCCTCCAATTGGTAGTTGTAGAGACATTGGTATCCCTTAAAGTCCGCCACCAACTTCCATATCTCCATAAAGAAATCAAAGTTGATATACTTATTCCTTCCATCCTGTCCCTTTATCCATTGTGTATTCTCAATAGATAACTTCTTTCCAATGTCCAACCTAAACAATTTCTATAAGATTTGAATGATTGAGTGAGTGGAATGATTCCATTATTGATTGATTGATTGATTGATTGAGTGAGTGAGTGATACATACACCAAGTGGAAGTGACTTTGATCCACTCTTTCTGAGGAATGATCGATATTGGGAGTATTCGCGATCTTCAGAGAATATGTGATTGAGTGATTGGTATTCCTCCATCTTGATGGGATCGAGCATTGCCCATGTCTTTACAAGGTATTGTACCATTGGATGTCTAAGTCCATCCATGATCTCGAAACATCCATTAAAGTTACACAATGTCTTCAACTCGTTGGCAATATCGATCAACTTCTCCAAGATTCTAACTCGTCTGTCCAAGTCCTTCTCGGTCAGTATCTCGCTGGTCACCCAGTTGGACATGACCACAAAGTGGCCGGTAAGTCGCAGCAGGTTGGGTATCTCATAGAGTATGCCCTCGATCGATGTGGCCATCTGGAAGAACTCGCTCTCCTCCACCGAACGATGATTGGTCGCCTCCCATATGGTCATCTGTCGCGCGACCTCCAGTGAGCTGAGCTGCAGCAGACTGGCCTTCTCGCCAATCTTAAAGCTGGGCAGTATGTAGGGTGGCGCTGGGGGCAGTGATGACTGGCGCGCATCTTCCTTCTGCTTGGTGATCTCCTTCATTGAGTATGTGGACGGGGAGAGCAGTCGAAGTATCTTGTTGTAGATCTCTGGACAGTTCTCCTTGAGCTGGCTGTGCACAAACCTGGTCATCATGTCTGAGAACGCCTTGTTGTCGTTGAAGTCATATCGATGCTCCTCAATCCACTGCTTGGCAATGCTCGCCACACGTGTCTGCATCTCCTTGGTCGAGGCCAATGTGTTTGGAAACTGGTTCATCTTCTCCTCGGTCACATTATAGCATGCGATCAACTGTTCCAATATATCGCGACGTGAGGCGAATGATCGGAAGGCCAACAGGAACACCTTGATGAATGTGGGATCGACGGTCTTGGTAAAGCACATGTAGCAGACCAGACTCTCGAGTGTGCCTCCCTTGACGCGCTGGCCTCCAAAGCCATTGATGTAGACCAGTCCATCCGCTGCACTCTCCTCCTTCACCACGGACTTGGCACCAATGCCCGTTGTCCTCTTAATCACATTTTCAATGTCTCTCTTTATCTGGCCACCCTTATGACGGTACCATACCAACAATATCACGGCACCAAACACCAACAATGTAACTATCAATATTGGTGCAATGATCCATAACTTCTTATCTGGTGATGATGTATCTTTGATTGAGTAATTGAGTGATTGAGTTAGTGAGTGAGTGATCGGAATGATTCCATTATTGAGTGGATGACATACCATTTTCACTACCAATGTATGAGAACATGATATTGGTCTCTTGGGAGGTGGCTTGATTGAGTGTAATGTAGGCTTGAAGTCCTGATCGATGTGTTGATGCGGGTGGCATGTTACAAGTGAGAGTGGTACCATCTTGTAATGGATTTGATGCATTGCCACATGTATATTCTCCAACCTTGATTGAATATGATGATGTATTATCAACATCCAAGTACATTCCTGTCAAAGTAATCAATCCACCAGTGATATTACACTGTGATATTGAGTAAATTCTTGGATCTAAATTGATTGATTGATTGATTGAGTCAGTGGCGAGTGTGATGTGGATGATTGAGTGATTGATGATACATACATATTGTATAATTAAAATTGCCTGTATTGTTGTTGACTTCAACTTTGAATTGAATGATTCCAGCTCGATTGAATAGTGATTGAAGTTGTGTGTTGTTGGTATAATCTATTAATATTCCACGATGATTATCCAACTTGATAACCTTTTGTTGTATAATATTATTGTTGATATATACTTTCAACCATGATGGATTCGATCCAAAACTATCACCTTTGATCATCACTGTATTATTATTATTATTAGTTATTGAGTTGATTATTGGAGGTTGATATGAATATTTTAGATTGATACTATTTGATCTGATTGATAACACCATGTCTAGATCCTTTCCAGCCATAGTCTGTGCAATATCCATTGGATAATTAAAATAAATTAATGTTCCAGCTGCATTCGATGAGTTCTGGACCAAAGTTGCCTGACCCTGTATCTGAATCGTTGTTGGTGATTGTGATTCCTGTTCCAAATAATGTCCCTATTATCCATAAATCATGTTAGTTCAATCAATCAATCAATAAATAATGATTAGAACAGTCAACATCAACATACTTTGATTGTGATTGTACCACCTTCGGTTGGCGTACCAATCACTGTATCGATTATTAATGGATTCCATTGGGTTTGAGCACATGATGATTCTGTGATGTTGTCTTGACATGCTTCCAACAATCCACTGCCACCAACACTAGTGTTGAATGATAGTCGCATCAATGTATCATTCTGGAAAAGTATCGGTAGGTCTGTAATCTTTGCCTGTCCATTCGCTATAAACTGTTTAACTCTTGCCACTGTGAATGCCTCCAATCCCTCTCCATCGCAAATAGCAACTCCATACTCATATGTAACATCACTAATATACTCTATATATATTTGATTGAATGATTGATGGTTTGTTAGTAAAAATGATTGATTGATTGATTGATTGAGTGATTGAGGATGGACTGAAGAGGCATACGAGCATGACAACAAACACTGGCAAGTGATGCCAGGAGTATGAGGATCAATGTTAGGTTTGTCATAGGTATCTAAAGATGTAAGTTGGAGATTGATTGAATCAATTGTAAATGTAATGACAAAGACCGAGATGATGATACTGGACTGGACTGGACTGGACTGGATGTTGTGTGTGTAATGTCATATGATTTGTTGTTGGACTTGATGAGTTTGTTTGTTTGTTTGATTGATTGTATCCTTTGCATGCTTGGATGGATGGATCGCGCGCGTTGTCCAAGATTCAAGCATAATCCCCATCTTCATCATGATGTCCCAACCAACTCTTTCTCACTCACTCACATTCCTCAATCACCTAAATAGGAATAAGTAGACCGTACCTCTATTTAAGGGGATGAAGCTGGAGCCAGCAGTAGCCAGTCAGTGGCGACAGATGATTGCTGTTGTTGTTGTTGTTGAAGATTGGTGATGATCCAATGTCATGTGAATCAGTGATTGAGTGGATGTGGTATAGTAGTGTGTATCTCCGATCGAATGTCTAGTGTGAGTAAGAGTGAGTGGAGGTGTGTGAAGGACAGAGACATGGTCAGGTGATTGATCAATCAGATCACTACCATCACCACAACACACACACACACACACACACAGTAAGTGAGAACATGTGATTGATTGCACTGACGACTGTGTATGATTGAGTGTCGATGATTGAGTGATTGAGGTGTATGAATGATGTTGATGTCGTTGGTATCGTACTCACTCACACGTTGGTTGTGGAAGTCAGTGTAATAGGTTACAAATCATATCCATCTCTCTCTCTCTCTTATGGTTGTTCGCGACATCTGAAGGTATGAGTATCGATCAAATGAATGTGACGCTCATGAGTGTACCCCGATCATGTGATCAAACACCAAACAAATAATATTATTATGGGATTGATTGATTGAATGAATGAGTGATTTATTATACATGGAATAGTATGCTCAACATGAACAATACAAGTAATACAAGAATGTTGGTCGATGGCGCTGTTAGTGTTGGTGAGCTGTTGGGAGGCGGGTTTTGGTAGGTGACGGTCACTGTCTGTGGCTGACCAGAGTTGACATTGGAAAGGCCATTGATGCTAACGATTATAGACATTGGAGTGGAGTCTTCTGCGCCGGGTGGCATGGTACACACCAACAATGTAGTGTTCAAATACTCATTATGAGGATTGGCGCATATCTTATTGCCAACGGCCACCGTGGAGAATGTACCTGCAATCTCCAAGTATCTTCCACTGATCGTTATATCGCCACCCCTTATTGTCAAGTTAGATACTGATGTGAGTACAGGGTCTGATTGATTGATGGATGGATGTTGATGAGGTTAGTAAGTGTTGATTGATTTAGTGATTGAGTGATCAAGTGATCGAGTGATACTTACAAAGGGTCAATCCAAGCTCATTGGATGGGTTGCCATCAACTTCGACGTGCACCTTGTATCTGCCAACTTTGGTGGGATAGTCGTTGTTGAAGACGGCGCTGGTGTGATTGGAGAATGATGTGATAGTGTCGGAGTGGACGGTCGGACCGCCAAAGCCAAGGGTCAACTTGGATGAGTTGGCACCAAAGTTAGTACCGCTGATGGCCAATGCGCCAGTCTCGGTGACATTGATGGTGAGCAGATGTGGCGCCTGGAACATGAAGAAGGTGGTGAAGCCCGATGATCGAATCAGGATGTTGACCGTGGTGTTGGGCGCGTAGAATGACTCGGCCAAGGCTGCATCAAACTTGAAGTAGCACTGTGTGCCATTGTTGGTGCCGGTCTGATCGAGCGAAACGCCAAACTCGGAGAAGGTCAGTGTGTTCTTGGTGGACGTGCCAAAGTAGTTGCCATTGACCGTGATGATGCCTCCGTAGGTGGGTGTCGATGTGACGTTTCGCACCAATATTGGGTTCCAGCCGGATAGTGCCAGGAAGCCCTTTTGGGTCACATTGATCATGCCTTCGTAGGCTTGGTCCTCGGTGAAGTTTGCTCGGATCTTTGTCGCATCCAATACGTTAAACTTGAGCTGGGACGCTCCTGGAGGTCCAAGACTATTAGGGAATGTTGATACATTTGTAATATTGACAAAGTTGGCTCCCAATATATCCACATATCCATCATAATATATTACTTGATTGATCTTGGCATTGTTTTCTGTGGCCATGGTTGTGTGTGTGAGTACCTTGGACCTGGTCCTCGATTCAATCAATCAAACAAACTTACGTGCATGTGATGTGTAGAATAGTGCTGCCAAGAGGACTATGATAATTGTGAGTTTGTTCGTTGGCAACATCTTGGAAATGATCGAGATGAGGATGTTGTTCTAATAAGAGATATTAGAGATAAAAGATGTAGAGAGATGGATGGTTGATTGAATATGAATGAAATATGAGGTGGATAGAATAGGTTGATGTTGATGTTGTTTGGTTGATTGATTGATTGATGATGTTGATTGATTGATCGATCAAGTTAAGTCAGGACCCACCCTCCTCCCTCATACTTAGCACATGATTGAGGTCGTGTGTTTACATGTGTTTAAGGTGGTGGTGGACAATCACATGTGACAGAGGATTGGCAGCAGCTGGCAGGCAGAGTCAGTGGCAGTGGCAGTGGAAGTGCCTTTTCCAATCCAACTAACAGATTGATTGAATGAATGAATGATTGACCATTGGTTTATGAACAAACGACTTTTATGTGTTTGTTTAAACTGTGTGTGTGTGTGTGTGTTTGATCAAACACTAAGTGTGAGGTGTTTCAAACGTTGTTCAACTGATCAAAAACATTGCCTTTTATGTGTTTGTTTGTGTGTATCTGTTCACTTAGATATACAACCTATCTGTTGTTCAAACACAAATAAGAATTATAGTCAAGTTGGACACTGTTTGTTGCGTAACGATATCCGCGGTTGCTCTGACCAAGTCCTCACATTCATCATTGTGTACAGACTTTGTGTATCCTTACAAGTAAGCAAGTAAATATGTTTAGTCAAGTAACAAATGTATATGATCTACATTTGTTTATTATTTGTTAGGTTGTCGTTATAACATTCCAACTATGTATGAATGAATGATTGAATGAACTCTGGCTTCAGTACGGATTGATTGACTAGGGGTCGTCCAGGACTTAGACCATCTTCCCAAAACCAAGCAACAGAAGTGATAAAAATAGAGACGGTGAGTGAATGATTGGTCTCCCCCCTGATCACTCAATGTGTTGATCTCAATCTGATCACCCACGAACCCTCCACACTAAGCCAAGTTGAAGCTCCATCAATGTTGTTGGTGGCCCTTCCTTCATATACACACACAGCGTTCTGAATCGATCAATCAGTCAGTCAATCAAGGAACTAACTGGTTGATTGGTGCTCAACACACAGAGTTACTTCATCCTTCACACCTCTCAGAGAGCATTGGTTGTGTTGTTGAGCACCAATCAACCATCCCCCGATGTACTACTAACTACTCTCCGAACCTTCAACCATTCACTCATTCACTCATTCACTCTCATTCATTGTATCATCTCCTTTGTAACAACAACTAATACTACTACAACCAACATATACTCTACAACTTATCAATCAATAATATATAACAACTAAATGAAATGGAGGACACAAGATTGTCAGTTAGATCAACAAGTAATGGTAATATAGTGCATGTATCTTCGAATCCGGACAAGACACCAATAGAGGTGTATTGGGCAAAGGATAGTAGTACACATTGGACATTCATGGTGGATAAGGATACGACAGTGGCAGATATGTTTGAGAACAGTTATGTTGTACCAGGTCATTATCTATATCTATACATGCGCAAACGACGCGCATTTGGATTACATCATCGCGATGTGGCTCTGTGCTACGAGGACAAACTTCTAAACATCATTGAACAACGACGGGCTCGTGGCAAGAAGGACGCTGCCACAGTGTTTGTTGTTGACAAGTCCAAACGCAAGCCATCCGACAAGATACGTGGAAATACAAACCTTCAGCACCATCTGCTCAAACAAGAGTAGTGTAGAGGGCAATGCCAAAGGTTTAATTAATAATATTTTAATTAATAGCATGTCTGCCACCGATACGAGGAACTCGATCACTCACTTACTCACTTACTCGATTGTTCCATTCTTACCCGCCCGCCAGCCCACCCGCTCGCACATCAGCCCATCCAAACGATCAAGAACCAATCATGATTGTTGTGGCAATAAACGAGAGAGAAAGAGAGTGGCATCTAGATAAAGATGCACAATGTAATATTACTACTACAAATTCAATATCGCTGCCCAACGTCACTGATGTTCATTGGAGCCCAATCATAACTTATTCCAGCATTGTAAATCCAGAAGAACTGGAACTAATTACCATCATCCACATTCTCACACCACTCACACACATCTGATCGACCATTCATTCTGGAAATGGGTGGGTGTGTGCTTGACATTCAATCAATCAATGACAGTCAATTAATTAATTCCAAATTCAACAACAACCAACGAATGCATGAGTTGTAACTTGCCGGTGATTCCAAGCTTGGCATTGTAACTTCATCGATTGATTGAACATCGATCGATAAATGATTGAGATAGAGATATTAACAATTCAAAAAAGCCCATTTCAAACAATCCCATCAGAATCTTTGTCTCTGAATATCTATATCCCCATCAACAACAAAGATATCTATGAAACAATTTTATCCTACTTTTAATCTCATTGCTGTTGTCCTTGTCCTTACAATATTGACAGCTACTAGTGCACCATGGATTGTCCAAGCTCAAACTACTCATGGTCATCAGGTAACTGAAACATCTTCCTTTGGCTTTAACTTCACGTTGGCTATACAACAGTTGATGGTATGTCATATTAAATTAATGGAAATAACTTAAGTAATTCTTTCAAAAAGCTAACAATTATCCAATAATATTAGTTGGCATACTCAACATATTGTGATGAGGATACAATTAACAAATGGTCTTGCGGATATTGTAATACAAAGTATAACCTTGGACAAATTGAATTTAAAACAACATTTGGTGATTCTAGTAGTAACGGATTTGGATACTTGGCTAAAAGAGGGAACACAAGTACGTACCATATTACTCAATCGATCAATTAATTTATTAATTCTTAAAATAATTTCATAATAGTTATACTAGCATTCCGAGGAACAAAGGTCCACACTCTTGAGAATTGGGCATCCAATTTGGATGTAACCTTGGCACCATGGTCACGTGATAATCCTTCTGCAAAGGTTCATCATGGATTCAAGAAGACATATCTAACAATTAAGGATGAGATTGAGGAGAAGTTGACTAATTTGATTGCCTCATGTCCAGAGTGCGACTCCCTTGAAGTCACTGGACACTCATTGGGTGCTGGATTGGCTACATTCTGTGTCTTTGACATTTACCCTCGTCTATTCAACAAGCATATTACATTGTATACATTTGGATCACCCAAACTTGGCAACCAAGAGTTTGTTTTACAGTTGGTGGCAAAGGTTGGAGCAAGCAATATTTGGAGAATCGTGGAGGAGAATGATATTGTTTGCCAACTTCCGGACCCAACATCGGGATACGTCCATATACCTAATGAATGTTGGTGCCATTCATCCAAACGTTCATATGATTTGTGCACTGATCAGGCCGATCCAAAGTGCTCATCATCAGTATCTCCAACAAAGTTGAGCATGTCCTACCACACCCGCTATCTAGGTTTCCGATTTGATCAATGCAGCAAGAGAGGAAACTTGGAAGTAGCCAGATATATCTTGTAATATCATTCTATCTAGTATCAACCAATTTGTAATAAACAATACATGCACTCACCATGTTCATTCCCTCCATTATTATGGAGAAGGGATCAATCTAACTTGAAAGGTAGAATGAGTTTGAATCCAAGGACCTTGTAGTTTGGGACAAGACCTACGACATAGTCATCGTTGATCCAAACTACAACTTGGTCGAATAAAGTCGCTCGAGGTTGGGCATATTATTTCAGTTGACCAATCAATGTTGGGCTATTGGTCAGGAATGAGTAACAACTCACTCGTTACCATTTATTCGCACCCCACTCTCCCCCATTCTTATTCGATCCATCAATCAATCAATCGCTCACCCACACACTTTTACCTACCAACACATACATCCTCTAACATATGTCATCGTCGGATGATACCATTCCATTAGGGTCAATGAATAGTCGAAACAAACTACAACCAATTATAATATATAAATTACAAATTACAAATATGATCACTATTTAAATGAAGAAGAAAATATTTAATTAATTAATTCCTTTTCATTCTTTAAACTTTAATTATTATTAACAATAATGTCCTATCATTTGGAACTTACTGCCATTCTTTTAATTGTATGTTCGGCATACACAAGTGCCAATACCGAGATATTTGGTTTCCATCGTCCTCCACCAGTCCCAGATACTTTTGACATGCCACTAGCCAAAGAAGCCCTAATGGTAATTAATTATTTTCCAAATATTATTTATTATCATTTTATTAACATAATATTTATAAAGATGGCATACTCTGCTTATTGTGATTACCCAACGTTGGTATCTTGGAATTGTGAGTACTGTAACACTGATAAGAATCTTGGTAAGATTGTGCCAAAGTATTATGCCATCAAAACCACTTCCAACGGATTCGCATTGGTTGCACAGAGGGACAACACAAGTAAGTCTATAAATATTCAATCAATTTCTCAAATAACCAACTAATTATTGTTTTAGTTATTGTGTCATTTAGAGGCACTCAACCTACAAACCTGGACAATCTATTTACTGATCTTAAGATGATCATGGTTCCATTCAATGACACCAAACCTGATGTCAAAGTACATTCTGGATTCCTCAAATTATACTTGGGTAAATATTTACTCTATCAAATAATTAATAATTTAATCAATCAAATATTAATCTCTATTTTATCAAAGACCTTAAACCACAGGTTGAAAGTGCTATTAGATCATTAATGGAAGCCTGCCCACATTGTGATCATTTGGAAGTAACTGGACACTCTTTGGGAGGTTCATTGGCAACTCTGATGGTCTATGATTTATATCCATCAGTGTTTAACAAGAAACTCAGCTTCTACACCTTTGGATCACCAAGAGTTGGAAATCAAGAGTTTGTCAATGACTTTGTTGCCAAGATTGGAGATAACATTAATCATATTTGGAGAATGGTGGAGGGTACAGATATCATCCCACAATTTCCTCAGTATCTCTTAGGATACAGACATTTGCCACATGAGGTCTGGTTGGAGAAAGAGGGTGGTATCAAGAATATTTGTTTGGGTATCGATGAGGAGAAATGTCAAAGATCTCTACCATTTATCAGACTTGGAATCAGAGCTCATTCCAACTACTTTGGTATCAGTTCAATGTTTTGTGACAAGAGTGATTATCCCATCCTCTCAATTGGAAAATAAATACATATAATTAATTAATTAATTATATGGATTTATTATTTTATTCTCCATTCACCCAATGTAGTTCTTGTTCGTGGTGATCTGATTGAAATAAAAAGTGTGTGATTTGTTCGTAGTCTTGATATATAAATAAACGGGGGAACTACTCAATCAATCAATTACAAATTTATTACAGTGTTACAAACAAGTAATTGTAAATATATAAAATATATATTCCAATAGTCTATTTAAACCAATATAACCCAAGTATCATCTATATAATAATTTATTAATAACTATGTTCAAACTAAATCCATTCCTAATATTCTTTGTCCTCCTATCTATTATCTATTCTAAAGCATATGTAAAAGAATATTATGAAGCAGATCTCCCAAATAATAATTTCAATATGAATATAGCTTATGAAGCATTAATGGTATGATTAATATCTATTTAGTTAGTAATTATACTAATATATATATCTCTTTTTAGATGTCCTATGCAGCTTATTGTGACCTCCCTACTTTGAACTCATGGTCATGTCACTATTGTAACCCAAAGGATGTAATTGGGAAAATAGTTCCAAAGATCTTTGCCATCAATGATCTTAATAATGGTTTTGCCTTTATTGCCAAAAAAGAGAATACTAGTAAATATAAATTAATACTGTTCAATCCAATCAATTAATAATATTAATAATAATATTTAAATATAGTTATAATATCATTTAGAGGAACACAACCAATGAATGTCGATAACCTTGTACAAGACTCAACCATGATTTTGACTCCATTCAACTCTTCAAGATCAGATGTTCTAGTTCATTCTGGATTCCTCAAACTTTATAAAGGTATGAATATATTATTATTATTATTATTAATAATTTAAATTATATTCTAACTAGTTGATCATTATAATCTCAAGAGCTTAAACCAACTCTTGAAAAATCATTGTTAGATATTTTGGCCTCGTGTCCAGAATGTGATCATCTGGAGGTAACTGGACATTCATTGGGTGCTGCAATGTCCACACTCCTGGTATATGATTTCTATCCAAGATTGTTCAACAAGAAGATTCAACATTATACATTTGGATCACCTAGAGTTGGAAACTCAATGTTTGCCGAAGCATTTGTTGAGAATCTTGGATATAACAGGGACAATCAATGGAGATTAGTACAAGCCAAGGATTTGATATCACAGATACCAACTATTACTCAAGGATACACACATCTTCCTAATGAGGTATGGTTGAATGCTGATGGATCAATCAAAAGGTTATGTGAGGACTATGACTCAAAAGATTGTCAAAGGTCGGTACCATTGATCCTTCTCAACATCCAAGATCACTCTCTATACCTCGGTATCAGTTCGGCTCATTGTGACAAGAAAGATTATCCAGTCCTTGGATTATCAAAGGTTATAAGTAAACAATTCTTAAATAAATAAGTTGACCAGAACTTCAATTAATGACAACACATTCTGAAAAAACGAGAAGTCGTGTGTCACATGAACATCAATCATTCATTCAGTAAATCACAGATACACACAACAAAGAAAAGATATGGATACAACATTTACATATCCATTCCCAATGCCTACCAACTACCAGGCACCAGGCATCCCATCAACTCAACCACAACCTACAACACCACCATCAAAGGTCGAAGCACTGATTAAGAAGAATAAGGAACGTATAGTTCCTAAACTATTCCAACCAATAACACTTGGCAATGTAACTCTAAAGAACAGGATAGTTGTATCACCAATGTGTCAATACTCCTCAGTCGATGGATTCATGAATGATTGGCATCTTGTACATCATGGTACCTTTGCCAAAGGCGGTGCCGCACTCATTCTCTTTGAAGCGTCTGCTGTCTGTCCCCAAGGTCGTATCTCAGTACATGACAGTGGTATCTGGAAGGACGAGCATATTGCACCTCTAAAGCGTATCGTAGACTTTGTACACAACTTCAAGGCTGTAAGTATCTCTCAACTCAACTGATTGATCGATTGTTCATACTCACTCACTAACATCGACAACTACAACGTACCTCAGGTCGCAGGTATACAGATTGCACATGCAGGTAGGAAGGCAAGCACTGTCCCACCATTCCTTGACAATGGTAGAGCATTGATGAAAGAGGATAAGGGCGGCTGGAGCAATGTGGAGGGTGCATCACCGATTGCGTTCAACAGTGAGATGCTCGTGCCACACGAGTTGACATGCGACGAGATCAAGAGAGTGATTGAACAGTTCAAGCAGGCGGCAATACGTGTGGACAAAGCTGGCTTTGGCGCAGTGGAGATACATGGCGCTCACGGCTATCTGATCGATTCGTTCCTATCACCAACGTCCAACAAGAGGACTGACGACTATGGTGGTAGCTTCGAGGGCAGGACAAGACTGTTGATGGAGATCGTTGGCGCTGTTCGAGGAGTGTGGCCATGCGACAAACTACTGATGGTGCGAGTCAGCTGCGAGGAATGGGTGGACGATGGCTGGCACATTGACGACACAGTGCGACTTGCCAAGATGCTGAAGGAGGCTGGCATCGATGTGTTGGACTGTTCATCAGGCGGAAACTCTAGCACCCAACACATCAAGGTGGCGCCCCTCTACCAGGTGCCATTCGCAGAGCGTGTCAAGCGTGAGGTCGCTGGCCTCGGTGTGTCTGCGGTGGGTCTGATCAACACACCAGAAGAAGCGATATCAGTGTTGGAGCAGGACCGCGCAGACCTCATTATGCTTGCAAGACCACTTCTCCGCGATCCCTTCTGGCCACTACACGCAGCAACATCACTTGGTCTTGATGTAGACTGCTGTCTACAGTACACCATGGGTAAATACACATGAGCGAGTAATACATTCTTGTTCAATTCTTTCATTGAATGATTGAATGATTGAATGATTGATTGATTGATTGAGTCAATCATTCATACACATCATGATCATCACTCTCTTTCGCTCACTCACTCTCACTAACTCTTGCCAATGATAATGGGCGACTTCAGTCAATCACAAACTCGTCTCACGCCAAACATTGTTTTGGACCCAGGTTGATTGACTGGATGATGGATAGATGATAGCTATATGATCCATCAGCTTGTAAAGAGTACCAACATCATGATATGAAGGTCCATTACCTTCCCAACTTATATTACAAGTAAATTTATATTATAAGTATGATCAACGATTGTAATAAGTGTCTTGGAAGATACATATTCTTCATTGACACTGAGCCATTTGTATGGAAGTGTGACCATGATACATGTACTCCTGAACTACCGGTTGACCTCCAGCCAATGCATGCCAGCCAGACCAACCCATTCAAGATCAAGCCCAAGACCAATCTCAAGAGGACCTCAAATGAAGAATATACAACGGATGACGAGGACTACAATCTTAATGATGAACTTTCATCATCCCCAGTTAAGTCCAAAGATATACCCAAGACCAATACAAAGTCCATGACCAAGACAAACACCAAGGCAAAGACCAAGACCAAGGCCAAGACCAAGTCCAAGACAAAGAACAAGCATAAACCCTACGCCAACACAAACAAGATGGTACAAATTGATGATGAAGATATTGATGACTTTGAAACACTTGGAGGTTCACCAGTATCTGGACATAACAAGAAGATAAAGATAACTAAATGATTCAACTCTTGGATTCCAAGGGTTCACTGGTCAAGTGTATGAGCGTGGGTGATCAATGCCCAGGGCTGATTGCCAAAAAGATCAGATTTTGATCAAACGACACTCCACGGGTCCATCTTGAAGAATGTTATATCCATACGCATACATACATACAGACAGAGATAGACATAGAGATAATAGATATATATATAATGGATAAAGATATAACATTAATATCAGTGTTTAAGAATAAGTATCTGATGTATGTGGTGATGTCACATGTAAAGGATATACATCTAAAGTATATTTGGAACAATGTTGATACGTACATGGCAAAGAGGAAGAGAAATTATACTGCACCAGGCTTGGCATTCAAAGCAAAGAAGTACTCAATGATAACCAAGGCACATTGGATAATCAAACATGGCTTCCTAGGCCTGCTACGATACAGGTTGCAAATGTCTCATGAGCGTCATCACGTTGAGGACTGCCTCGAGTGGACCACCAAGGCATTCGAACTCGTGGCAAAGACAATCACAACCGACACTAGTATGCTGAACTTGATCGTCGACTCACTCGTACAAAAGAAGATGGGACTGATGGAGGCTGCCGCAAAGTTCAACAATCTCGAGCTGTTACAACTTGAAGCAGTCAAGGCTTCAAAGACCCTGTGCAAGGACCCTTTGATATGGCCACAACTATTGGAGATTGCACTGACACATGGTTCAGACAGGGTGGCCAAGCACATCATTGATAAATACACGCCCTACACAAAGGACAAGACATTCCTCGAGAAGGCAATAGCATCAGTGAACGCCAACACCATCATGGCCGTCTATGATAGCAACTACGCCATGCTACAGAATGGCATCACACCATTCTACAAGTGTCTGTTGACAGGCAGTCTTCCACTGATCAAGAAGATCATCGAGTCTGATTGCAAGCACATCCCATTTAGAGAGGCAGCACTGACACAATACGTCCAACATCTTTTGTCATCGGCCAAGCTGGAAACACTCACATGGGATCATTGGGATCTGATCATGTACGTCAACCAACACTTCAAGATGCTCAAGATCAACAACGACGCGATGGATAGAGATTGGGCACGCGGCAAGGTACTCAAACTGCTGGCGCCCCCACCCAGCGACTCACCATACCGCGAGGAGATACTAGTGTTGTTGGCACTGGCACAGCTGGCGATCGATCACAAGATGGACATCAGTCTAAGGCTTGCTGGCGAGACTATAGTGGCACAGCAGCGAGTGGAGTTCATAGACTATCTGCTCACCGAGGTTGCCTTTGCTCAACACGACCTGTGGCTGGCCATCGTCAAGCTTTGCTCGCCGACCATCATCATGCAATATTCGCGACTGGCAGACAATGGACAGACGTACAGCACAGTATCACGACAGGACAGTCTAGACACACTACAATTCCTTCGCAACACACTCAACTCCAACTTTGATAATACAATACTACGCGATGAGATCAAAGCTGGAAACACAGAGGCAGTTCGCTACCTCGTGGACCAATGTGGACCCTACCCCTTGGGCGTAATACTAGAGTATGCAGTGACGTATGAACAGATCGATATCTTCCTCGAGTACTTTAAGAAGAGTCCAACCATGGCTGTGCTGCGTCCAAACTTCATCAAGAATCAGCTATTGTTTGCCAAGCACTTCCACCTCTTGGCCAAGGTGGCCAGCCCGTTGGACCTCGGACTACTGCCCTACGACAGCACATTCCTTCAGTACATTGCCATTGCAAGGTGTAGCGCATCGTTGGACACCCTGTTCAAGGTGAATGAAACGGTGGACTTGAAGGAGGTGTTTGTATTCTATTCTGCCGATATGGATTGGTACAGGAAGGTGGCAGCCACCAAGCGAATGAAGGATGATCATGGACCATACAACAACTGGAATTGGGTATACGCTGCCAAGTGTGGATCAATACCAATGGTACGAGCACTTGAAGATATCTATGGAAGACAGGCATTCAAAAGCAATATCAGCAAGTTATTAGAGTGGGCGGAGAAGTACCATCACACTCCATTGATCAAATACTTAAAGGAGAACAGATAATGTAAAATATAACAATCAATCAATCAATCAATCAATTATTCAATCAATTGTGTGAGATAACTGGTAAAAGAGTGTGGGACAAACTACCAAACAAAGGAGTATAATTGATGCTACATACTGTGTGGAGATAGAAAGAGATAAGATGATCTAGATTACATACAATGATTGGTGTTGGTTTTCCGAAAGTCACTCATTTGATCTTTGATCAATACATTATTGATCAATACATTATCATCGTTTGTGATTCTTCAAATATTATTTTAATAATTATCTATAAAGGTAAGAGATGATTCTTCCAATATTTCTTTGGAATCATCCCTCACTCACTTTTTCACTCAACATAATCAATCAAACCACTTACGCAAGTTAATCAATTAATAACAAACCGATATGGACAAATCAGTTTTATTGGTAGCAGTTTTGGCTCTTCTTTTGTATGCCATTAGTGCTGAAGCCATTGATCGCCGCTTGGTGTTGTGTCCTAGGGTCTATCCAAACGAGTGCAGATATAATGGTGGCTATTTCTTTCCAGGAAACGGCAGAGATAGATGTTGCGATCAGTGCCTATCTAACTGTGCTTCCTCCCCATGCTGTGACGACATCTCCCAAACCACCTGTGATTCATACAGAGGTGCCTACATCCCAGCAGACATCTACAACGGTCGTTGCTGCTCTTTATGCATCCTCCAAGCGATCGTTTGATAAAATTCAAAAGAAACAAGTTATATTTTGGTTGAATAATTGATATTAGGCATTTCTGAGATGGATAGACACTTAACCTTCTATCTTGAGTCGTCAATAGAGGTGGCTTGATACTAATCACATTGATGTAGAGGAAATAATATCTTATGATAATTTAGTGCTAGCACTAAAACGATTGTCCCATACTTTTGATGGGTCATTTGTTACTAAGGAGAAAAGACTAAACAAGCCATGGCTTGACTGAACCACTTATTACTGAGACATTGGAATCATCCAATAATTATTCAATAACTAACTCATTCAAAATCATTCATAACTACAGATATGAACAAGTCAGTTTTGTTGGTAGCCATGTTGGCTATTGTTTTGTTTGTGAATCAATAGGAGGTGAGGTGTCTTCACTCCTTCAGACCCTCGCAACAAACATTGCTGCGACAAATGTACCTATTAGGATTCTATTGTGGACATTCACACAAACAACAAGTATCCAAGGACTGTGATCTTGTCACTCAAGTAGAATAAAGGAGAACAGATAATATGTATTTGATTGATTGATTGATTGATTGATGTGTCAAACAGACATTAAGTTCCCATCCTTGTATGGTCATGTGATATTACTTTAGATGATGCAAAGACTAAACAAGCCATGGCTTGACGCAACCTGACATGACCTAAGAGACATCGGGACTCGTTCAGCTGTCCTACGAGGGAGGGGTACCTGTCTTCTCCATCAAACACAAGATCAAAGTAATGAACATCATGACTGTCAGTCAGGTAATTCAATCAAAATGGAAGTCGTCAAGTTGTTTCATTCTGATAGGGTTTGAGATGACCTCACATGTAACCCATCAATCAATCAATCAAAGTGTGTGAGATACAAGAGTGATGGTTGACGTGTGATGTGTGTGTATGTGACAAGCTACGAACCAACAAGGAGTGTGATTGATTGAATATAAACTATGTGGTGGGTTCTAACTTGCACTCATGTTTAAACAAATAGGAAGTAGAGAGAGAGATAAGATGGTGTAGATGTCTATAGTCATCATTCGTTCTCACCACAAGACACCTCCTAACTCTCACCCAAATTTAATGAACAGAAATTTACTTGAAGTTGAACAACCTTATTTGCTTCCTTTGTTTGGTTGTTGTCAACAACAACAATCAATTATAAATAGTATCCAAGTACTTGTCATTCATTATCCATAGTTTATACTTATAATATAAATATATTTAATAATTAACTTCAAAGGTATCTTATCTACTCCGGAATCATCCCACCCCMACCCACACTCAACTATCAATCAATCAAATCACTTCACTAACTCATTAATACTCATATTGACAAACAGATATGTACAAGTCAGTTTTGTTTGTAGCCATGTTGGCTGTTGTTATGTTCGCAATGAGCGCAGAGGCCATTGACTGCCGCTTTGTAAAGTGTGCTGGTGTCAATGCTACTGAGTGCAGATTGAATGGTGGTCGTTTCATTCCAAGAAATGGAAGAGATAGATGTTGTGATGAGTGCAAGAACAACTGTGCCGCCACCATGTGTTTGGCCGTCGACCAAACATCATGTGAGGCCAACGGAGGTGTCTTCACCCCAGCCAACCTCTTCAACGGTCGCTGCTGCGCATCATGCTACTACGACCCAATCATGTGTGCTGCCGTCCAATGCCTACGCATCGATGAGGATCGCTGCACTGCCAACGGTGGTGAGTTCCTCCCCGCCGACATCACCAAGGGTCGCTGCTGTGCTGGTTGCAAGAACAACTGTGATCTGGTCGACTGCGCCAACGCCGACGAGCAGCAATGTATCGCCACAGGTGGTCGCTTCATCCCAGCCGATATCCCACACGGAAAGTGCTGTGCTTCCTGTGAGGACAACCCATGCATGGTCGTCCGCTGTGCTGGCGTCAACGAGACCAAGTGCCGCGAGTCTGGAAAGATCTTTGTTCCAGCCAACCCACCAACCAAGTGCTGCGACTCCTGTGAGACCCGCTTCACCATCGAGCCCCAGAACCCATGTGCCCTAGTCCTGTGTCCAGCCATCGACAAGAAGAAGTGCAACAACTCTGGCAGATTCTACGTTGAGGCCAACCCACCAACCAAGTGCTGCGCCACCTGTGAGGTCCGCATGACCATCGAGCCCCAAGACCCATGTGCCCTCGTCAAGTGTGCCGCCATCGACAAGAAGCTGTGTAACGCCAACCCAGACACCATCTTCTCCGGTGCCTACCCACCACACAAGTGCTGCTCCACCTGTGAGCCACGTTACACAATTGGACCAGTTCCACTTCCAGTTCAATAATTAATTTATTAATAATTAATTCAAATAATAATAATATATTAGGAAATTCTTCCATCCATATCCATCTTGTTTCCATAGGACATATGTTTGACATCCCTCCTCCTAAGGATGTAAATCGGAGTTGCGGATGAAGGGCGAACATCATATTATGCATGTCCATGTTGACCATCAAACCATCTTTGCAATAGAAGTCATCCAAACAAGAGCCATTATACCCATTTGTGTAAGAAGACGAGTCGTGGTGCCAGACACATCCCTTTGCACTTTGACAAGTGTTGTTGATCTGTTCAAATATCAAGAACGAGGTTGTTGGGAAGACACGAGAAATACCAATCTTATTGGACCATTAACATGGTGACAGGGGTACCATTCTCGTGACACTTCATCTGTATTCACGTCATTCATTCAAACACCTGATTCAATCAATCAATCACATAAACACACACATTGGAAGCCTTGCAGATTTTTGTGCAACTTTGTTCATGTAATAATTTCAAAATGTGAACAGCAACACACACGTCAAGGGGCGCATTCAGGTCCAAGGTCCAGACCATCACTCCAATCAAACGAACGACACTCAACACACACATGCCCCAATACTTGAATGTTGTCACAACTATCTGTGGCGTGCATTCAATCAAAATGGAAATGTCGACAAAAATGGAGCGGTGTTCGGTGACTGTACCCATTCTGATAGGGAGCGGCCGGTTGGCTGGGCTGTCTGGCAGAGGAGGTCCATTGTAACCCTCGCCAGGAGATCAATACTTCTTTGTTTGTTGATTGATTGGGCAGAGCACATTATTGAGACACACATATTAACACTTCACTTAGTCAGGTGAAGCTTGACGAAGTGGGTTCTAATCAATCAATACTGACTCACCTTATGCCTTATGTATGTCTATGCCCAACACATCATCACTCGTTCTCTATGTTGTGGTGATAACATGGATACCCTACCAAGGTGATGGTTGCCCTCGTGTCCGCTCTGTAGGCGGTAAAGAAATTTACCTGAACTTGCTGCCCATGGACATGTTTTATATCCAAGTACTCATGATTGACATTTAGTCATCTAGTCGAGTTATATATAACATATACATATAAACAATTAAGGTATATATACATACATTCTCCGCCTCACGCTACCAATTACCACCCCGCGGCAACACCCACTTTCCTGCGGTCCACACGAGAAACACATGTTGCCACACCCTTTAACATCATTTCACTCACACTAACATTCACTTACTCCTCATTCACAACATTCACATTCATTAGTTATAGACATGTACAAGTCAGTTTTGTTAGTAGCCATGTTGGCTGTCGTCATGTTTGCCATGAGCGCAGAGGCCATTGATTGCCGCTTTGTCAAGTGTGCTGGTGTCAACGCCACCGAGTGCAGATTGAATGGTGGTCGTTTCATTCCACGCAACGGAAGAGMGAGATGTTGTGATGAGTGCAAGAACAACTGTGCCGCCACCATGTGTTTGGCCGTCGACCAAGCCACCTGTGAGGCCAACGGAGGTGTCTTCACCCCAGCCAACCTCTTCAACGGTCGCTGCTGCGCATCATGCTACTACGACCCAATCATGTGTGCAGCCGTCCAATGCCTCCGCATTGACGAGGAGCGCTGCACTGCCAACGGTGGTGAGTTCCTCCCAGCTGATATCTCCCAGGGCCGCTGCTGTGCCTCATGCAAGAACAACTGTGATCTGGTCGACTGTGCCAACGCCGACGAGCAGGCATGCGTTGCCAACGGAGGCAACTTCATCCCAGCTGATATCCCGCACGGAAAGTGCTGCGCCACTTGCGAGAACCCATGCAACTGGGTCCGTTGCCAGTACGTCAACGAGACTGAGTGTAACTCCAACGCCGGCACCATCTTTGCTCCACGCAACCCACCCAGCAAGTGCTGCGACACCTGTGAGGTCCGCATGACCATCGAGCCCCAGACAACCACCACCCGCTTCACCATCGAGCCACAGCCAACCCTCAGCCCATGCGCTGCCGTCCGTTGCGCCTACGTCGACGAGAAGAAGTGCAACAGCAACCCAGGCACCATCTACGTCGCTGCCAACCCACCCAGCAAGTGCTGCGCCACCTGTGAGACTCGCTTCACCATCGAGCCCCAAGACCCATGCGCCCTCGTTCGTTGCGCCTACGTCGACGAGAAGAAGTGTAACTCCAACCCAGGCACCATCTACTCTGCTGCCAACCCACCAAGCAAGTGCTGCGCCACCTGTGAGACTCGCTTCACCATCGAGCCCCAGACTACCCGCTTCACCATCGAGCCACAACCAACCTTGAGCCCATGCGCTGCCGTCCGTTGCGCCTTTGTCGACGAGAAGAAGTGCACTGCCTCTGGCAAGATCTTTGTCCCAGCCAACCCACCAAGCAAGTGTTGCGCCACATGTGAGACTCGTTTCACCATCGAGCCCCAAGACCCATGCGCCCTAGTCCGTTGTGCCTACGTCGATGAGAAGAAGTGCAACAGCAACCCAGCCACCATCTACTCGGCTGCTAACCCACCAAGCAAGTGCTGCGCCACCTGCGAGACCCGCTTCACCATTGAGCCACAGCCCCTCTAAACACCCGTGATCATCACGTGATAGTCACTCTCCTGCTACTCAATAATCATCAATCATTATGATTAAACTTATCTTAAACGGAAACTTTTCCAAACCTCTATCCATCCATTTCTATCCATTCAGTTCGTTTGATCAAGTGGCTGCAGGTTTGACAACAACTTGAATTCTCGAGTTGATTGATCATTAGTGGGTGAGGTGAGTGATATGATCATTTTCCAAAACTAAAGTAGAGATAGAGATAGAGATAGAGATAATAAGGAATGGACTATTGTAATGAGCATGGGTCACCATTCTATCGATACTGTTCAACGTGCGACAATCATCCACCAGTATGTCCAGATTGTGTTGATGATCATATGGGCCACATCTTCGTTAAAGTCAGGGAAGACACGACACATGTACAAGAGAACAACAAATACAATTACAACAGCAATGTACCGACACAAAGGTCACAACCCTCGTCCACACTGGAGCCACCATCTCACGAGGATATAAGAAATGTGATTGACTTCTTGGTTAGTAGACTCGACTCAAACTTTGTCAAGTTGATGTCGTTATACGACAAGTTGAAAGAGGCAACAAGAGTGAAGACGGAGAAGGACGAATTCTTCCAATATATCTACACTCGATTTTCCACAATGGAGAAGGAGGCAGAGGACAAGATTCAGCAGTACCGCATGCCCTTGGTCAACTTGTTTCACAAGTACTACGATGTTGTGTTATTGGACAAAAGAAAGTTGGACCTACTCGAGAGTTTGTCATCAGCGAGGCAGAAACAGGATGCATCCAATGCGTATGACAACTACTTTGACCACTGGGATTACGATTTGGCTGTGGAGGCAGCTCTAAACGAACACAAGATCACAGACTCACAATTGATCAAGAATAACCTCTTCGTTGACAACATTCTACGCACATTTGACAACAAGTTTACAAAGGACAAGTTGTTCGAGCACTTTGGAATGCCACATAGCCCGTTGACACGCACGGATCTGATTGTTGCTCAACTCATTTGTGAAGCACAGCAATCTGTCGATGCTCACTTGATTGCTGCTAAGGTTAGCTTGGGTTCTGCAGGGTTCAACGGGTGTTGTGGGTGGATTCTTCAAATATTTGTTTTGGAATCCAAGGTCCGACCCGTGATGACCCTTTGCAACCTCCAACATAGTAATAGCGACCAATTAATACATATATATAATACAACATCTGATGTCTGAGGAGCTAACCCAGTTAATAGTCACCAGAGTTAAGCAAGCAGGTGTCAAATGCTTCTTCTGCGGTACTGAGTTGGATATCTGGGTCTTGGGCAAACACCTGCCCGTGTGCGCCAAACTGTGTTACAATATCATCATTGATATGTTCCAGACTAAAGAATCACAGGAGGAGACTCACACGTTGAGGCTGCGTATAGAGGAGTTAGAGGGAATCATCAAGTCATTATCGCAACAACAACAACAACAACCATTGTTTTTTTTTTTTTCTTTTTTTTCCCCCCAGCCACAACCAACATCGTTGTCATCAACACTCACGCTTCAGCAAATGAAGACGCCAACCAAACAAGGTGCGGCAGAGAACAATAGAGAGCTGATGAATATCACACATACCAAGAAGTTGATGGATGGAGAGACTAGCAAACAAACCAAGTGCTTCTTTTTTTTTTTTTTTCGAGACCCAACCAATCCCAACCGGATTATAGTAGAGGCGACTTGCAATT